GTTATGGAAGTGATAGCCACACGTCCTGTTGCTGCGGCACCATCGACTTCTACTAAGAAAACTCGAGTTCCAATTATTTTCTCATTAGCTTAGAAAGGAAGAGGCTAGCGATATTGAAAGAGAAGAAAAGACAAGAATTGGAATAGAGACAAGTACAGTTCGAATCAGAACGAACAGGAAGAAACCGAAAATAGTATCCGCCTGCTAGAGATGGAACATGATATTCAGAATGCTCCATTGGATGATCAAGAAGAAATGAGAGGCTGCAGTGAAAAATTTAGGATATCTATCGATATTCTTGGGAAAAATGAAAGTTTTGTGGAGTGCAGACAGTGGCAGGCTGGATAGAAAGAATATCCGACGAAGTTGAGGATGTCGAATGCAAACACGACATAGAACATCCAAACAATGATAAGAATTATTTGTGAAACTCTTTCTCGTATTCTGAAATCTGTTTCACCACCAAGCATTCATAATAAATCTTAGAAATTATTAGCACGACACACAGTTGAGGACTTTCCACGCTTTGACGAAAACTCGCGAGAGAGCTGCTTAAAGGGCGACGCAAAAGGAGCAGTAGCGATGTTGACACCTGAAAATGTTGATTTGGTGATTCAGACTCTACAGATGTTTACCGTATATTAGGGAAACGAATTTGGAAAAACTCATCCAGTTTTCAACTGAAGTTCGTAATGTCTTGATACCGAATTCTACTGGACACCTCCAAAATCCACAATTATTGAAAGACCTTCTATACAAACTCCCAGACACACTAAAATTGAGATGGGGTGAAGTGGCAGTAAGGAAAAAGTTTTTTTCTTGCCCAAACAGAACCCATCACAAGTTCAAATGTAGAATGAAGAAGAAATGTGACCAGAATGGATGCCAGATGTACCACCATTTCCTGCTGCATATTGATCCCTCAGATAAACGCAATTCGGGAATACAGGAAGATTCAAAGGTTGAGATACAGTACAGACCACAAGAAGCTTTTCCTTCAATGTAAGAATTGGTCGTAAAGTTTCACTTGAGAGTAAAAACACGTAAATCGGCTCAAGTCTTTCGATAACTTGAGATTTTTTCTATTTGTTCAATTTCTACAACATTTTTTTCGAATATTTTCGATAAAACAGACCACAGCCTTTAGGGCTATCCGGCAAAATTTTGGAAATTTTGACTTTGACACTGACCACATGTTTCAGTAGCGCCAACTGGTGAGAGTTAAAATGTTAGCCCTCATTGCTCGACTAATACCCGGAAAATTTGCCAGTTGCGAGTAAATGCAGACTAGGATGGACAGACCACGGTCTTTGCGATTCAAGAAGGAATGGTGGCGTTATATTTCGAGCTAACGCCCTTCACATGTGCGAGAAGAAAAGTGCAGGAGACGAATTGCTAGAGCTGGTCAAAAACTCGTTCTCGAATGAATCATTCGGCGTACTAGCCACAGCTGATCGACTATTTGGGGAAAATGAGAGATCACTGAAAATAATGAACGAAACAGTCAAGAAGGAAGATGGACGATACGAAATTGGATCCTCTTGCGAAATGATGGTATGAGCTACCTGAAAGCAGATACAGTGTACTACAGAGAATGCGATGTGTGGAGAAGAAATGTCGACAGAATGATAAACTAGGAAAATACTACTGTGAAAAGATTCAAGACTACGAAGATAAATGATACATCAGGAAGTTGACTCGAGTGGAAGCAGATACTTTTGATACTCACACCGGGTACCTGCCACACTTTGCAGTTCATAATCCCAACAAACCAAACAAGATAAATAGTTTTCGATGCAGCTGGAAAGTCTCATGGTGTCAGCCTGAGTGATAACCTGATGGCTAGAGCCGATCTACTTCAATCTTTAGTAGCGATACTATGGAAATTCCGACAGCGGTGCTTCGGATTTTGCGGTGACGTCCGGGAAATGTTCCATACGGTTGGAATCCGGAAAGAAGACTGGTGTGCTCAACGCTCCTATTGGAGAAATATAGAAATTGACCGAGATCCAGACACTTATGAAATGCTCGTTATGACCTTTAGCGCAACGTAATCGTAAAGAACCTGATCGCTGAGAGATTCGCCCAAGTACCTGAATTTCAGAGACGATGTAGTAGAAGCTCTCAACACCATGGAAAAATTGCCGGACAACATGGTATTGGCGAGTTCAAAGAACATTTCACACAATTTACTTTTTCTTTCAAAACTTCAAACAATCTTAGATCTTCACTAGTCAATACCAAGGACTTGATACCGGATTTTGACAAATCTGGTGTCTACTTCTTGGCTTGCTCGGAACCTGATTGTAATGTTTGTTATGTTGGACAGACGGGTCGCAAATTCAGAACCAGAATCACAGAACATGTCCGCACCATTGATATTAATTTTGAAAAAGAGTTTATCAACACTAATTCTGTATTTCCCAATCACGTAGTTAATGCAAAACACTCTTTCGATCCAAATTCAAATTTAAAAATTTTTTACACTTTTGTCATAAAAGCAAAAAACTCAATCTACTTGAAAGTCTAGAAATCCATAGAGCCCTAAATAATCGTGAAATGACTTGTATTAATGAACAATCTCAAACTTTTCAACTCTCTTAGTTTTATCAAGACACATTAAAATTTAGTAATATTTCCCCGATTCAATATATAAAGTCTCATGAATTTTCTTTTCTTCTTCAGTCACCACTACTATTCAAGTTCACTTTAGGCCCACCTCGGTTCTCAATACACTCCCCCATCTCTATGCCTTTTCATTGTCTACACATTTCTGTTCACTATTTGATGTCCCATGTCACTCTCTGTCACTTCGTGTCAATGCCATTCCTCTTCTGTTCTGTATTTAATTCTGAATTGTTCTGAGATTCAATTTCATATTTGACAGATTGGCTCCTCATTTCTCATCTAACCTTCGGCATGTTTAGATGATTACTTAATTTAGAGTTTTTGGATTGTTAACCTTACTACAACGATGTTTCACTTCACCGTACCTTAACAAAGGTGTTCCGCAGTTTGCGGCCCTAAAAAACTTTTTTTCCATGTAACAGTAATTTATTCTTCACTACTTTTTTGGTTATAATTAATATGTAAACACAACTTTTTTCCTCCACAACAGGTGAGTTTTTAGTAGAACTATCGTTGTTGAAGTATTTAGTCTGACATTTCACCTTTTTTTCTCTTCAGTGCTCCTATGTAACTATTAAAGCTGATGATGAAGCTTTGAAGCTTCGAAACATGTCCCCCCTTTGAATTGATATTACATTAAAGTATCGTTTTGGTGGAGTAGACTGTATGAATTTCTCCTTTCCTAACATTTGATTTTGAATTCAGATAATATCGTACTTGAAAGTCGGGAAATCATATCCGACAAAAGAGTTATCGATACCAAGGAACAAAATTGTATAATAACTTACCAGAAAGTGTCAAAAGTCCGCATAATTTGTCAAAGTTCAAAATGAGCCTCACCGCCCATGTCGGAAGTAGACCCAGAAGAGAAATTCATGAGTTGATTGAGGTTTAAAATAACTATATCTACATGATCAGTCATATACGTATACTTACTGCGCATCTACGATTGACTTGCCACGATTATATACATATACTTACTGCACATCTACGATTGACTTGCCACGATTATAAATAAGTTATAGTAAAATGCTGCTGTCTTGAATCCTGTCTGAAATTGCGCTCTCGCCTTATTTCTTACTTCTATTTTAATTCATTTTCTTTTATTTTCAACTTTTATGTATAAATTCTAGATTATAGGTGATTATATTGTAATAACTGTGTGAATTTTGTATTTGTATAATGTATACTTATGATATTGTGTTATACCACGTACAAGTCATTGATGTTGTCGTCAATGACTTCTGTGAGTTATTTAAATGTTTATTGAATAGTAACAATCATTGTTAACTTCCATGTAATCAGTTATTTCTGCCAATAAACATTCATTCATTCATTCATTCATTCATGAAAGAAACTCAAGATGGTGGTTCAGCAAGGACGTTTTTTGCTGGATTTGTGGGGAGGAACCTCTATTGAACAAGCGAATTATATAAATAATTATTTTTCTGATTGTAATGAAAATCGCCAGGTGCCTAACTGTGGTACATGTATTCAAGGGGCACATACAAGTTTCTTTCTAACACCAACAACACCCGAAGCAATACTAACAATTATAAAAAAAACACTTAATCTACACCCGGTTCAGATGAAATTGATGGTAGAGTAGTCAAATCGGTGGCCACACTAATTGCCAAACCGCTTTGCGATTTGGTAAATAATTCTTTTTCTCTTGGACTATTCCCAAACATCGAACAGTCCGAAGGAATACCAGTTTATAAAAACAAAGGATCTTCTCAATACAAAAAATAACAGATTGGTTTGTATGCAAAATTAGTTCGCTAAAATTTTTGGGTCAGTATATTGTCAACGTTTAACAAACTATTTGGAATGTTTCAAATTACTCCCTGACGTACAACCCAGTTTTAGACAAAAAAAAGTCCACTACAACTGCTATCCATGATACATTTGAATTCCTGTATAAATCACTCAATGCTAAGGAAAATCCATTATGTCTATTTTATGATTTAAGTCGTGCTTTCAATACAATCGATCGCGATCTTACTGCTATAGTTAGAGGCTATGGGTGTACACTGTACATGGTTTACCTCTTGATTAGGCAAAGTTGTAGCTATCCGACCTTACACAAATAGGAATGTATGATAATACTAAGTCAGAAATAAGGGAATCCAATTTAGGAGTACCGCAAATGTCAATATTGGGGTCACTATTCTTCATCATATTCACTTCTGGTATCAAAACTTACTGCAACTATCCTGAAAAAATTATATTATATGCCGACGACACTAATATTTTGATGTCTAATAGTAACATTGAACAACTAAAAGCTTACTTTCCGCCCATTATTAAAAATCATACCTCCTTATTCCAATATATTCTTGTTATAGACGAGATTTCACTCTTTTTTTTAGACACAATCCACATGGATTCAGAATTACCCCAAGAAAACCTTGCCGAAAAGCGAGAATCAAGTCCAAAGGTTTCCATCAATGAAAATACTGACTCAACAAAAAATGAACAGAAAGTAAAAACAAGATCCAAAAGAAGAAGAAGTCGATCCCATACACCACAAACTAAGACAGATGATACAGCTTCAAAAACGTTGCAAATTTCTCTCAAGAAATTGGATGAGGAAGTGAATAACAAGGATATTATTCAAGAAAATGGCAAGGCTTCTGAAAATGGTTCCCAAGAGACTCCAGAGGAAGTGAAAACTGTTGAAGATAGGGACAAGAATAAAGTTGAAGCAGAAGTATCGAAAGATGATGAAGTAATGGAGGTACCAGAAGAAGTGAGCGAAGAAATAGAGGTTGTGATATTGGAAAAAGACACTTCGGAGAAAGTTGTCAGTTCCGATAAGGTTGTTAGTCCCAAGAAAATTGTCAGTCCCAAGAAAGTTATAACTCCCAAGAAAGTTGTCAGTAACAAAAAAGAGAAAGTATCAAAACAGCCAGTTGAACTGACAGTTGACAATCAGGATTCTGTTGAAATGGAACCCCTTGTTATAAGCGATGAACCAGACCCAGAGTTACAGTTTGACGAAAACTCAGATATCGAATCTGGAAAAGGCTCCCCTGTTATTTCCAGATGCAACACTCGTAGATCTCAAACTAGAAATATTCCTACACCGAAATCTCCCAAACTCGCAGAACAGCATCAAGATCCAGAAAATAAACCTGTAACTATCGAGGAAACGAATTCAGAACAGCCTATAATTGAATTGAGCGATAGTGACAGCGCTGACATGGCAAATTCGTCAACAAGAGCCGAGGTGGGTAGCGATTATACACGTCTCGACTACACAGAGACAAATAATTCCGTACCGGAAGACTCCAGCTACTTGAACGAGGTCAGGGAACGATCTGTGACTGAAACCCTGCGTTGTCTGTCATCGAGAAGGCCCATAAGAGGCGACTATAGAAGGATTGTGTTCCGGAATGCTCATGAAAAATCGGAGTTGAACTTGCAGAGTCGCGATTCCATTGAGAATGTTCAGACTGGTGTCAAACGTAAAGATCGTAGCGTCACACCGGAGGAGCCGAAAAAATTCCGGGGGGATACATCCGGGCTGTTTTCGAGCCCCTTTGCTGGTTTCAGGAACAAGTTCAAATCAGAGTTGCCATCGAGTACGCCGAAATTATTAGGTTACAAAGATATCAAAAGTGGCTTGCAGTATGAAGAGGGGATAGCTACCGATCGGAATGCAGGAGAGAAGAGTTGGTGTGCAATTATGTGAGGTGTCAAGTGATTGCATCCTGTTTCATAAAAGTAAGTTTTGTCAAGTTGTATTGAATGTCAAATTTTTGTAGAAGGCAATAATCGAGTTCACCTAGTGATGAGAAACTGAAAATTGTCCCATCTGTTCTTGTTTTCTGGATCCCTACCTAACATTATTGATCATTGGGTTTGGTAATACATACTACCAAGAGACATCTCTAATCACACATTATCACCTCTCATGAGAACATATTCGGCCAGAGGCCCTTAGGACGCAAACTTTGTCCTTGATACCTAAATAACTATTTGATAGTGATTTTTATGATTGGAATGTAAAACAACAACAGGGTCCAAAATTTCATCAATGAACTCAATATGCCTATAGACATGAATATTCAAATTCCATGAAATAGAATATTTTTATAAATATGACACAATGTATAATTGGACTTTGTTGACATTTTTGATTCCCTTAGTCACTCTAATTTAGTGTTATGCAGAATAGCTAGGATTGAGGAGCCAAATATTCAGTAGTGTTGCCATAAACTGGTTGCAGGAAGGTGAATCAAATGCTAGTTGTAATTGAAAAAATTGAAGCTAATCATTTTGAAGTTCAGTATTATATTTACCACTATTATTTGTGATTTTTGTATTGATTTTATTTTTTGTTTATAAATTTTTTTTTTATTTTCACATTTGTGATGTCCACATCAATATTTACTGTTGTATGTACTCTCTGACCAGATTCTAAATTTAGAAAAGGTAATGGTAGTAAAGAAAGTATATTTCAATTTGAAGATGGCGCAAGTTTTGTTGAAAAGGGCTGTGATTGGTGTGAGAGGTGTTTGATTTTTGTTTTGGACGTTTCATATTCCCATTAATTTTAGTTGGAACCATGAAGACAATAACAGAATGGAATGGAATGTCCTTATCTCTAGGCGAAATTCTCCTTTTCAACTTTAATCTGGAAGAAATTTCTGTTACCTTCAACCTTCTATACAAAATATTTTTTTTATTCTGCATATGAGAGGGAGAGAGAGAGAGAAAATCTTTATTAGGGATATACCCCAAAGGAGCATTGACCGGAGTCTTTCAGCCCATTCTGCAGATAAAATGATAATTAACCAGTGTTCAAAAGTTTTCACACTTATTATAATGAAAGACATATGACTTTTTCCCTTTTGGACTGTTGAGAAATCAGTTTTTCAGTTTTCATATTACATAATATAATGAAACTTTGAGCATTGTGGCTGTTTCTTAGTTGTAATGTTATTGGATGAGTCTGTGCATTGGTTGCAAACAGGAAACCTGTTCGTTCGTATTTTGTTGAAGGTAGTGAGAAATGTTTATAGAAGCATTGATAGAAAAAACTTTTCAAAACGTGGATAAGTTGAAGAACTGTAATTGATTATCGTAGAAAAAGTAATGTATTTTTATGAAATAGGTTGGGTAAACCCAAAGATATTTTGAAATGAGTTTATAGTTATAGTCATCTTCTATAATGTTTTAGTTTTTACATCAAACATTGCTTATTCATGTATTTTATTAAAAAAAAACATCGGGTGACCATGAAAACGAGACATTAAGGATACAATTTTATTATTTTCAGTCTGATATTGAAATTTTGCATTATTTGATATGATTTTGCTTGCTAGGTCTATTCGGGATTTGCCAGACTGTTGATTTTTTGAGGACTTATTTTTTTAAAGACTGTGTATGAGTGTTATTATATTTACCTATTCCTTCAAGAGAAGTGTAGATAGAGAAACAATGTCCTCCCATTTGTTCTTTTCTTCTGGGTTCTAACTTGAAATAATGAAAATTTTATATTGGTGACACAATAATGAACGCCCCATTGGCTTCCCAATAAGCAACCGACCGAGGTCCTTCGATATAGATATATAATTAAATATGTTTGTAACAGTAATATTGTTGTTAACTGAAATTAAAATTTGTATAGCTTACAAAGAACAATTGTTGAAAAAACTAAAAGTTTCTTGGCACTTCTGCTGTCTTATGTGAGTAACTTAGAAATCGGTTGAATCTTGGTTAGCTGATTGGTGACAGAAAAATGAGGATCTCATTTTTCATAAAGTTAAGTTCAAACCCTGTAAACGTGGACCAAAAGGGGACATTTTTTTTTTTCAACTCTCAACCCTGGCCGAATTTTTGCTATTAGATCTGAGTAGCATGTTATATTTTTTTTTACTGTGTTTGAATTTTCAGTAAGATATTAACAAATATCAATAATGAAGGAGGAAAATTCAGTAAGTTTGTAAGTTGATCCCTATAATAGGAGATTGCGGGGGACCGAATTCGGGATACCAGAAAGAAAATTTACTCCTGAATTTTTTTTCATGATCTGAAAAAAAAAATTATCACAGTCACCTTGACAATTTATTGACCCAATCTAGTACATGTTACCTTGAAACAATTCAAGAACTCAAGTTGAAATTGAAGTATATATTATTTTGGCACAAGAAAAAGTGCTATCCAATGGAACATATATGTTTATCTGAAAATGTTGGAAAATACAAGGTGTCCATATAAAAACCCAAAGTGGACGTCACGTTCAGCGAATCCAATAAATATGAATAATTGGACATTTAATAAATGTTTAAAGTACCAGTAACGGTTCAAAATTTAAAATGTATCAGCAGTAGTTGCCATGGCCACCAACAAAACATTTTTTTATGACTTATGACAGAAGTGATGTTTGATGATTTGATATTTAGGTATGTATCCTTTGAATATTTTCCAAATATTTATGTATTCAGTAGATCAACGTTTGCTTTGGCTATTGAAATTTTGTATGTTTATTATCACATTAATATACTTATTGAATTATTAGACAAAATGTTATTTCTCCTTGTTGTATACCTTGGGTATGTCTAAATATTATAACTCATTATTTTCATATTTCATAATGTATTCACTAGGCTGTTACCTGATGAAAAACCATAGTAAATGTGAAAAACTCAAACGATAAGATTTCCACAAAAATCTTGAAAACACATGTTTCGATAATACAGTATAGTACAAGTAATATACTTGAATAAGCTACTGTATTAGTGGAAATCAAAAATCACAAACTCTAGGAACGGTACACGTAAGAAACTCCGTTAAATTCCTCTTTCCGAAGAGACGAGCGAGAAAGAAGATCAATCTAATTCTCAAAGACCGAACAAGTCATCTATCTATACAGATTGTTCGAAAACCCCGCTCGTATTTGGAGCCGGGGTGTTCAGCAGAAAACCGGAAGATGGACATTTCTGTCAATGTTGGCTAGTTAGTATTCTACATTATTTTAGGCGGAAGTCTTCGCAATTGAAATTTGTGAGAGAGAGTTGACTAATAGACCTCTAGTAAACAAAAAAATCAGTATGGTACCAGACAGTCAGGCTGTTCTTGAAACACTGAGCTTCAGCAAGATGAATTCCCAGTTTTTATTGTACCTCTAGAGGCCCTGGGTGCTAACAGACGAGTTACTCTGCTGTGGGTACCCGGACACCAGGGGTGGAGGGCAACGAGAAAGCCTACATCCTCGCCAAACTGGGAACCGAATGTGTGTTCATAGAACCAGAACCATACTTTGTAGTCACAAGTACGGCCTAAACAACTAATTTGGACTGGGTATAGTGGTAAAGACCCGAAAAATATAACCAGGCAAATCCTATAATGAAGCAGGAATAACCTGCGGGGAAATTTAACAGGAATGTTCACGGGACACTAGTCTCAAATATCACCTACGAAGGATGGGTCTGAACTAAAAAACATACTGTTGTTTCTGATGTGTGGAGGCTGAACACATTATGTTCATGCAGTTGCTTAGAGAGAATAGGTTCAAGTGTTATCATGAACGTTAACGAAAACGTTAACTGACAGCTACGCATGCGCATTTTCCAATTCTTCACGTTCGCGTTGGTAGTGGGCTTACGGGTGTACGTTAGTCCATCCTTCTCAAATATAAACGTAAAACAAAATGTATTATCACGTTACGATGTGGTTACGATGACGACCAAAGGGATGACTTCAACTCAATTTTAAGACAATACGTAAACGCTATTTTTCGTACGTTAACGTCTTCGTGGAGGTCTATGTACAGTGATTACTTCAACTATCTAATTATACCGTTTCCCTCTCGTCGCGCTAGCTCGAACTTTTTTCGCGAATGTTTTTTGTCTGTATTCATTATTCAAGGATAGCTATACAGTGACTGCATAACTCTAGTCCAGTAGAAAACGGTATAAGGTTCAAGATATTTGGTATCACCCATTTAGACCTAACGATTTCAGGAAAATCTCACCTCTCATTCACCCATAAACTTTCTGAGAAATAAGTGGATTGTACCAGGTGATTCAATAAGGATGACGAGATTCTGTATCTGAGGAGCTAAGAATTTTGCCAACAAGGCCTGTATCAAGAAAGGAATGTTTGACGAATGAAATAAAAAATCATACATGTCATTCTGGGGTTCTTACCGCCCTCGCAAAGGGGCGTGTTTTATAGACTATTAGTTTCTGAGATACAGTACCTCGCTCGCGATGTAGGGGGGGGGAGGGGCGGTATTTCTTCACTGATCAGCATTCATCAAAATATAGAATCGGCATTTTGCCTATGTTGCCTCAAGATAATTGACTAGCGAAGTCCTATTGCTTCAAGATGATGGTACAAATGAAACGAAAATTCACAATAATATAACAACATTTATTACTGCAACTAATATTATAAAAATACTTTTGTATTAAAGCAATATTTTTTACAACCAACATATTGCACAAGTTGCCAATCTTCCACACAAAAATGTATACTTATCTTTTAAAAAATGAGGCTGTCGTATTTTGACTAATAGAGTATACAGGGTGTTTCCGAAATTCGGGCGATCAATGAAATGAACGACGAAAAAACAAAACGAAATGATACATTTTTGTCGAAAAAAAATATTTGAAGATATTGAGCACCAAAGGTTGCCTGAAATTTTTGTAAATCAATCCAAGCGTTTGCTTTTGGCGAGATCACAAGTACTGGAAGTATTAATGGCTTTTGCAATGTTGCCGGACGTTCAGTAATAGTTGAATGATTATGGTGGAAGCGCACATTTTTTGAGAAATTTTCAGAACTATTTTTTCTTGTGATTTATTGTGTCATTATGTCTCATTAGAACACCCCATTTTATTCATCGCCCTAATATTGGAAACACCCTGTATAGGTATTTGTTAATTTCCTCATTTTCTAATTTACTACATAATACAGGGTTCAAATTTCAGAGTAGGTATAATCAAATGTAAACAGTGATCGTCTTCAGTTCCAAATCCGCGACTGTCACTCTCAATTTTTTTAGATGAGAATGAAAATTGAAAAACCCAAAAGAATCCACGTACAAAAAACCTACACGGGGAATTGAAATAAAGTTTTGTAACGATGTCTGCCAAAAAATCACTGTGTATGCTAATGCATTCAATTCAAGAACATGAGAATCTATGCTAAGCAGGAAATTGAACAAACTTCAATTATTGGTCACTGTATATTTTTCCGAAATCCCCTTCAATTTTCTTCAGATTTTTGTAACCCATTTGAGCCCTTTCGGCCGCTCTGGATAGCATGCCATCAATTATTAGCAATATAATATAGCGGAAAAGCACAAAAATTCTCCACAAAAAGAAAAGCGCTTTTTCACATGAAGTGCAGACTTGCGGCGGCCAGGAACCCGTCAATTTTTTTATATTTTGGGTTTAATTATAAAGCCTCAAAAAGGCATGCAGTGTAAAATGGGAGAACGTCACCTGTCACCATCTCCTAGTCTATATTTCTGAGATGCAAAATGATATGAACGAACCCAAAATAAGTTATCTGTGATGACATTTATTGAGAGCAAATATAAAAATTAATTCTTAATTCAAAAAATTTACTGAGTTACCGTGGCAACGTTGATTCCATCAATTCCATCAATGATATTCCTCCCTGCAGCCATGATGTATATCTATCGTTCTAGAGAGGTGAAGAGGTATTCACAATTAAAAATCGAATATACCGGTCGTGCATGAAATGTTGTTTGTATTTCCGGCGTGACTTGCTTTTATGGACCTAGGCGTGTTACTTATACGCTACGGTCCATAAAACTCTATTTTACGCCCTTAATACATAAATAACCATTATTCAATAATAAACCCGATTATTGTTTCACGCGTTCTTTCGCTCTGATGCGGTGTTTGGTGGGTAATTTCTAAAGCATTTTCAATTCGTTTTTTAATTCGATATCTATTCCCAAAATGAAAGCAATAATCGTGAATGTGCAACTGAAAACGACTATCTTGTGCATACATTTTCAATTCGAATAAGAGATTCATTATTGTTCAATATGACACCAACGTGTCTTGCCAAAGTCCAATTAGGTACTGCTATAAAATAATACAAAAACTGACTCTATCATCTACTTATCACAATTCACACTCAACATTCATTTTCACGGAACAACGAGTCTAGTAGCTCAATACTGGTAGTTCATGTATTATCGAATTCGAGGTCCATATACTTTCTTATATTTTTGAGAAAAATATCCTTGACGTTGCCACAGTTGTTATTTTGGGCCGCTTCCAAGTATACCTCCAGTGGTTGATAAAACTCCCTATAAATGTCTCCACCCAGTTGGAACTATAAAACATATTTTAGTATTAATATAATGGAAGATTCCTTTGAAAAATTTTATACTTCTTCGAATGATCTGTAAACTGCTTGAAAAATGGGCTGCTTTTCCGAATGGAAGAATCCTCTGGAACCATGGATTACAGCGACCCCCTGTGTTTCAGCGGGCTTGCAAACACTTGTATACATGCAATGATCTGGACGATAGTTAAATCTGCATGAGTAGATGAATAATTTATCTGAAATAAAATATACAGGGTGTTTCTTAAATACGTGTAGAAAATTCAGGAACTTTTTTGTGCGTACCTGTATAATGTTTTATATTTTTTGAATTGACTCGGCCGTTACTTGATGGAAATCCATGATAAATGTAAAAACTTCACAAACGATAAGATTTCCACAAAGTTTATTAAACACACGACATGTTTCGCTAACACAGTAGCTTCGTCAGGTGATATACTGGTACAATGAAGTTTATTGTACCAGTATATCACCTGACGAAGCTACTGTGTTAGCGAAACATGTCGTGTGTTTAATAAATTTTGTGGAAATCTTATCGTTTGTGAAGTTTTTACATTTAATGTTTTATAGTTGGAAAATAGATTTCTAGAACTCTTTCGTCTGAAAGATATATTCCTGGTAGAGGTGACAGGTAGCAACTGTTTTCGAGTTATTGGGATTTGAAATAATCAATGCAAGTAATTTGGAATGACAAGAAGTAGGAATCCAAAATTGATTAATTAAGTAGGGAAGATTATTGTTCTTTAATTTCATTACGAAATAGGACAGTAATTAAGACCAAATTGATACTACAACAATTAGTTGAAAAAGCTTGGACCACAAGTACAGAAGACAAACTTCAGTCACAAGAACGGATTGAAATAATATGACATGTACTCCTTTTTTTGTTATTTTCTTAAATTACTCGAAAACAGTTGCTCACAGCTACATCTACCAGGAATATATTTTTTACACAAAAGTGTTCTAGAAACCCATTTTCTAATATAAAATATTATACAGGTACGCACAAGAAAGTTATGACTTTTCAAAATACTCAAAAGACATGTAGGTGGCGCCACCCCCACGAAAGAGACAAACTAACATGAAATTTGATATTGTCATTGAAAATTACCCCGAGAAGCCAAACTTTATTCGGATATCACAATTATTTTGAAATTTATTAACAAAAAACAAAAATAAGAATTCAACTTTGACACTCTGTTTCTCAGAAACGAATAACTTTCGGACATATATTTTTACGAACTTTTCTTCTTATTTTGACGTCAGCAACATGCTCCTGAATTTTCTACAGGTACTTGAGAAACACCCTGTATAATGTTACGAGATTAAGTTCAGCGAGACAGAGGCACGGTCGCTTCTAGGAACTCTGCTAAAAGTCGACTTTATCTTCTCGTCCCTGAATGAATTAACCTCAAGTGGTTTCGGCGGCGCAAAGGCAAAGGATAATTAGACGAACTTAATATAGGTGCCGTCGGTACTCACATCTGAAGTCCAATAACACCAGAATAATCACTCATTTCTTTTTGGCTGCCACAGAAGACAGCACACATAATAGGACGTCTCTATTTGGCCCCAATTGTATACTATGGATGTTCGAATATTTACAAAATATATCGACAGTTCTTGAATAAGTGAAACTATGCCTGAATGGTAATTCGCGATGGAAAAATGTGTACGCCACCTACCGGGTATTTGAAAGCTATCAAGGTGTTCAAGTTATCGCCTTCAGGTGGGACGACGTGTTATTTTCCATCTTTATTTACCTTTTCCATTACTTACTGTATTTTCCATATCGCGAATAACCTTCAAGAAATGTCAAAATTGGAAGAAACGTTTGGTTTGGTGGCGATCAGAAATTCAATTTCGCGTACAATGTTGTGAACATCAAATATTTTCTTCGCGTAAAAAATAATACATACATACATGCATACGATATACAATACTTCGTTGGTAGGCAAGGTATTCATTGTGTCAAGTTTTCGATGCTTTTGCGTTTTGCGCGATATCTCAGTTATCAGAGATAGAGTGTTGCGGTTTGTACATAACTGTCTTACTTTCTTGTGAAACGAATAGTGCCTCAAACAGAATTTTCACAGTCCTTCATGTTTTTGAGATACAGGGCGAAGTTAAAAATTTTGAACAACCCCGAATGTTGGTTGCTTTTCAACTTATCGGCAGGATTAGAACAGGGCCTTATATAGTCCGGTTCGTAAAAGATGACCGGCGGTAAGAATATGAGCCCAGAGCACAATATAAATATTGCGATCACCAACTATTGAAAACGAAATCTCAAGCGCTCACTAGAAACGGTAGTATCAGTTCAAACATGCAGTCAGTCATATCGTTCGTGACTTGATACTTGATGAAGGTGACGTGATCTGCAAAACCTAATCCTTAGAAACTCACTAGGGTCTAGGGCCAGCACCGTCTGAGGAGGCGAATTAACCCGAGCGCCGAGAGCGAACACGATAAAACCCTTCGAAGAGGGGAAAACGATCGATATTCTTTTTTTGTACAGTGACATTCGTAATTAAAGGTGACTAAAGTTCGTTCTTGGTATTACTCATATTATTTGCCTATAATCAATGAGGAAAATTTCATAACAGATATTGGTCTGTTTCAAGTCTGTTTAATATTGTTTTTATTTTACCACATTTTCACATCATCTAATCTGATGTGTGTGATACTGAAGACTGATAATACAGGGTGGTGCAGAATTCAGATTCTTGATCACCCGGTATATGTCCCAATTAAATATCAGTAGATAGTTAATCAAAAGTTGAGATAGGGACATGTAAGCCGTTTTGACCAATAATGAATAGTTTCGACAAAAAAAAATTCCTTAAGTTGAAAAATGTCGATTTTTCACACCCTATATCTCTGTAATCATTTCCGCTAGACCCCAAGTGTGATATATCGATGAAATCAGCTCTTCAGAGAGAATCTGAAGATGCAATAAAATACAGGGTGTTCCATTTAAAATAACAAAGTTGTTGCTACTTTTCGATAGAAGCGGCAACGCCGCAGAGCTGAAAATATTTTAGATCGATAGATCAAGAGCAATTACTTGAGTAACCAAATTTTCAGAATGATCTTATGTCCCGTTCTCCGTAAACGTCTAAGGTGCCATCTACCGTGACCCACCCTGTATATGATTTCAAATTTCATTTGATAACGTGTTTTACCTATGTCACATAATATTTTATATTACTAATTGTTCTGAGATTTTGACTTCAAAAAAGTAATAGATTCATTTCATCACATCACCTTTTTGGGGATAAATGAAAGATAGTCAATAGAGAAAGTAACTCAAATAATGTTCATAATCTTTATTCATAGGTACCCGACTAAGTATAGTTTATGCAAAGTCAGCTGAACAGATCATCAAACGAATGTCGGGCCGCGCTGCCGCAATCTTTGAACCTTCAAAGGGACCGACGGCTCTCGGTGATGTGTTTTTCCAACTGACTTTGCATAAACTATACCTATAATCCCTTTCCATCTACTCAGTTTACTATTTTTTTTTAATCATTGGGATCACAGGGAGGGATCCCTTTATTGATCCAAAGTTGGCCATGGTGGAGAGATTACTAGAACTACCCTTGAATGAAGTGGCGTTTTTAAACTTGAAAAATATACTAGGTATTATTTTTCAATAGACCTGCTTCAGTGAAAAATGCTCTGAAAAATGTTATTCCATTATTTCAAAGTACTAACCCAAACTAGTTCACTGTCACAAACCATTGTCTTCTCAGTTCTATGTACATTTTTTAAATAATTATTGAAATCCACAATATTTCATAACATGAAAGATGCAGCAGGACAACACATGACAACATATATATTGATCAATCCAATGCATTTTTAATATGATAATGACTTATGTAAGTGTGGAAGCAAATGATCATGTCTATGTGTAGTGTGGGTATATTTTCATTGGCTGTTGAGTAATATAACACTGGAATGTGAATATATTTTCATTTGTTCTTGAATAATATGACAGTAAGTATATCAAGTCTTCCAGAGCTAGCATTTTCAAGAGTTGAATATTTTGATTGAAAAAAAGTGATTTTGAATAATGCATGATTGTATAAAATATCAGATCAAATACAATTAATACATGAAACATCAATATAAAATTGGGAATAAAACTGAAAAAATGGGTTACCTGTTCCTGTATTTGTAACTGTAATTTTCACATTTGTAGAAAGAACTTGCCAAATTACTTCAAACTACATTCTGGATATCATTCATGGTTTAATTGCTTCCATGTGGTCTGACACTCATTTAGTATTTATACTGAATACTATCATTTCTTGTGTTCTTAATGGTATGTACTCACCAGGGTGATAATGAAATATAATGTTGATAATATCTTGATCTCCCCATGTGATTTGATGTTTGAATTTCCTGTAAATTGGCACAACATATTCTTTCCATTTGAATGCCCTCATTCTTGTTAAATTCATCAACATCACACCTGAATTAACTCCTAAAATCAGAGAGGAATTCATTATTTAAAAAATCAGGAAATACAACAGAAAAACTTTCTTATAATTCATGATTTCTACCTAATTTATATGTCAACACTTATTTATTAATTTCAGTTCTTCAATACCAAAATTGATATCCAAGTAAGTGCTCCTTCAGTGGATATAGGAAGAGGAGCTTTGTCTCCATTTTCAATGTCAGACCACTGAATATTATTATATTCATAAATTGGTGATTCACCTCTTACCTAATTTTCCATAATAGGGGTGTTTAGCAAATCTGTTATACCATCCAACATTTGGATCTTCATGCTCTGGGGCCAAAGCAGCCATCTGACTAGAATTAAATGTATGGAAATGTTCCCATACAGTCTCCACTGGAGTCAAAAATAAAGTATCTGTATCCATGTATAAAATAGAGTCTACATTTTCTAATATACTCTAAAAAAAAAGGTAGGTAGGTAGATATAGTAGACTAGTAGACATTGGTTTGATTTGCCAGCAACTTACTGGCAAGAATAGTCTTTGGGCAGCACAGGGTTTGAACAGTTTTTTCCATTCTAAGGGGTTATCTGATGGAAAAGTTAAAGGCAAAACTCTGAATGTGAATCCATTGTTCAGAAATGATCTCCATTCTCCTAACTGGAAAAAAATTCATCACTCTATATGAATATACAGGATGTCTCATAATTATCATGCCAAACTTTACCAGCCCTTGTATAGAATTACATCTTGGAATCACAATATTTCAGAAGAAACCCTTTAGTGCCCTGAGAACAATGTTGACTAATATATCAATCTGGGAGTTGTTGATGGTCATTTATGAATTAGTAGCTGGGCTACTAGAAATAACAGAATGAGGGCTTATTTAGGAGCTATTATTCTAGTCATATTTACAAGCACACTTTCTCACTTTTGATCATAGAAGTGGCTGATAACATTTGGCAAGCTAATTTTGGAAAACAGAAAAATACCACAGAAGTAAAAAAATCCTCATTACCTTTTCATTGAAGCTCTCTATAAGTCTATCTTCTGAAACAACAATGAAATTGAGTTTCTGTTTACTGAACATCAGTGCAGACTTCAACATATTGAGTGTTTCTTGTAGCCTGTCTCCACAGGCGACCACAGCAACAACAATATCATTTCTGAAATAAGATAAAAATTAAATTTCATATCAAAACTGAGAATGTATTGTGATGTTTATTACTTTGTGAAGGTGATTCTTTCTGTGGTGACTTCATTGTTAACTTCTACAAGTTCTTCCTCTATGTAATTCTCACTATTATTCAATAATCTAATACTGTAGAGGTAAAATATGACTAAAGCTATGGACAATAAGATACCCAATTGTAAAACTGTATACAATCTCATTTTAAGTATATGTGATTTATCATTTTGTATTGTTTTGATGGTTTTGGAAATTTTGGGAATCTATCTGCAAAAAGTAAACATAGCGCAGTTAACCTCAACTATTCTTCTTCTACGAAACTGAGTCCTAGTTCTCTTGGACAAGAGTCACGATGAACAATGGCCACAAAATGATGTCTGGCCTTGGCCTCTTTGAGAGAAGGAAAAGAGGGATTGGGGGAGAAGAGATGAGAAGAGGACACAAAATTCAAACAAAATGAACTCAAAATGAATAACGGACAACAGAGATAAAACACGTGTAAAACATAAAAATCTCTATTAGGTACTTTTTGAAATCATTTGAGCAGCCCATAGTGGTCTTAAACTTTGCCATACGATTACAGCCAAAAAAATGAAGTCACACACCCACTTATATTAATATTGTTCTAAAATTGTTTTAAAACTGTTCTATCAGTCATTCGGTATTGCCCTCTATTACGAGAAACCCTCAGAAGAGTCAGAAGTCTCGAAGACTTGTGTAAGCAAGGAATCACGGGGGTCTTTTACCTTTCAACGTGTGATCCCAAACACTTTCTTGGGCATCAGAAAAATTTCTGCAGTCGCGGGAAATGGAACGAACGACCGGCAAGCGAACGCGGATCAGAATACTGGCGCTTCGTCCGCACGGCTACCTGGCCACTCAATATAATTAATTCAATTCAATTACTTATGTAGGAGGTACTTCGCACTGAAAAATAACGTTTTAGACAAAGATGAATCAATACCAGAAACGCTGTTTTCGAGAATAGATGAGTATCTCCATAGCTTTTATAATTTTTTTCTCATTGAAATAAACATTTTAAGTGTTTGTTGATACACCATATCATATCAAGGAGTTTCCAATTTCAAAGCTGCATTTTGTTGAATGAAATGGTGCAACGACTTTGCTCTAATTTAACTTTCTCTGTATCTCATAAGGTTACCGCGAGAGCCCCATATATGCTTAGCCATGAATTTGTAACGCCCTGTATACGCATGTACGCGTATGAAATTTTGAGAATTCGGCAGTGACTATGGCTATATTATAATAGACATAGAGTACATAAATTTCGAATTGTGCATCTTTTATGAGAATTCACAAATTTTTTTTTCTGTTGGAATGGGCGCTGCTTCATGTTTCAATACATCCCATATGGCGAGAAAATTAAAACAATATTTCAGATGCCTTATTTTTACAAAAGAGCGATTGATGGACCCGAAAATTGTTCGTTAATTGAAAATATTGAGATAAATATATGGACAAAATCGATACAAGAAACCAAACAGGTTATATACAAAATGAGTAAAAATGAATCAACTCTGATGCTTTGAATTACTGAAATTCAAATTTTGTCGAAACCATGATAGGGTAATTAAATTTCATGAAGAGTACTTTTTTTGCAGTAAACAAGTTACGCAATTCAGATTTTATATTAAAACTATGTTCTTTTCATTGGCGTCGTGTTAGAAGTTTGAGATGTTTATTTACTGAATAAAATATCAAGTTCTACGCCCATGGAATGATATTTGACCTAATAATATTATGGGTTTTATTGTCCAATAAAGCTATAAGCCAACGTCCCAAATTTAAGTGAAATCTCATGAGCAGTTTCAAAGTTATGAAGCAAAAACGATTTGAAAATTTTAAACTTCAGAGCCTGGGGAGCCCAAACTTTGTACTGAGGTAAGTTTGCTCGTAACGAATTGTTATGGTCTGAGGAATATGTGGTGAGTTTTTGAAAAGACCATTCAGGGACATCCTGTATACTTATACAGGGTGTTTCGAAATTCGACCGACAACGCTTGATAGGTGATACCCCTTCTGATTTCTTAATTACTAAGATAGGGACATACGGTCTTTGAGTGTTCAGTACTCGAGATACAGGGTGTGGAAGTTTTTAGAAATAAAAATTGGGTATATTCGCAATAACCCCAGAATGGTTGAGTATTTTGCATGCAAATTTGCTAAGTATATGGTTTTATCTTTGAATGTTTCATTTTTTGACTTGAATATTCCGGGGATTTTATCCAGTAGGGCGCAATAACATTTTCAATTTCTCGAATTCATTGTTCAATTTTGTTCAAAAAATGGATCATCTTCAATTGAGCTAAAATCAACAGTTTTCGAGATATTCGACCCAAAATAGAAGATTGCATAGTCATTCTTCATCACATTCAGAAGTATAGCAAATTTCAAAGATATTTTTTTGTTGGTAAATAGATTAGATACTTTTTAGATATCATTCTCTGTAGCTGAACAGAAATAGTTATTTCACGCAGAAAGAAAAAACAAACAACTTCTATTTTGGGTCAAATATCTCTAAAACTGTTCATTTCAACTCAAATGAATGTGCATCACATTTTTCGAGCAGAATTAAACAAAATGAATTCGAGAAATTGAAAATTATCGAAATATCATCAGCGGCATTAAAAATATCGGAGGAAAAGCTACCACTGGATGAAATGTTATCGGAATGAATTTCTGGTGAAAAAATTTACCCATTTGAAGATGAAACTATATATCGAATTTGAATGCAAAATACTATCTATATTATCCTGCTTCAGTTATTGCGAAATAACTATTTTTATTTCTCAGCTTCCACACCCTGTATCTCGAGAATTGAACACTTGAAGACCGTATGTCCCTGTGTCAGTGATTATGAAGTCACAAGGGCTATCACCTGTCAAGCGTTGTCGGTCGAATTTCGAAACACCCTGTATATAATGGTATGAGCGTTTATACATATTGGCGCCTTATTGCCTCACATTCCACTATTTTTAATGCGCCAATAACGGCTTCAATTTACGACTTCCTGTCTCTAAAAATCCGTTTATAAGTTCCTGATGATCGATATTTTTTTGAGGAAAAACTAAATCATAATTTGGAGCTTTAGCCTTTCGAGTCCCGCCTAACTTCGCCACTGTATCAGAACACCCTGTAGAATAAAGAAACACATAGAATGCCTTTTTCGTATCAACCAAAGTGAAGCGTAAGCAAATGTTCCCCTTATCTCATCCAGACATTATATGCTCACAGCGAATACTGACATCGCTTACTCCAATCTATTTCATGAGATTTTTTTCAGTCAGCATCTGCACGTGAAACTCTCCATTTGTTGGTACAGACCGCTGTATATTTTCAGTAACTACTGGAGCGGCTCATCGTCGGCTCTACACCGAGTGATATAATAATTATTGGCAATGTGGAGATCATATTGCATAATTTTTTTGTTGCTGTTTGTTTACGGGGATGCGAATAAGCTGCACAATGAGCATCCAAGGCATGTTTCTGTTCCTGCGTTTTCTAGATGCCCGTCGAAATGTGCTTGTCTGAAGAGAACAGTGAGGTGCATGAGACTGGATTTGACTGAAGTACCGAAGACTCCGACGCAAACAACTGTATTGTGAGTCAATTTCAACATTATATACAGGGTATTCCAAACAGTGGCCGATTTACAAATTTGTCGCCAGTATAGGCTGCTCAATTTTTGCCGCCCTTACCAAAGTATACAGAATTAATTCTGTAAAATTTGCCCTTATTACCAGTTTACAGAATTAAAAATATAATGATGTAAATTTTGCCCTTACAATAGTTTACAGAATTGAAAATATAATTCTGTTAACTTTGACCTTTCTGACCTCCTAAATTAAATATAATATACCCTATAGTTCGCAATCATATATTAATTACATTCATTCTGTCGATAGCATTGCAACTTTATATGATGTCTTCTGTATTGTCTTCATTGAATCAGTTATTTTTTATATTACCTAGCATACAGGGTGTTTTATAATTGAATGTCAATATTCAAGGAGGCGATTCTTGGGCCCATTCTAAAAAGAAAGATTGCTATAATCATGTAGTGAAAAGCTTTTTATTTTTTTAAGCGAAAACCGTGCATCAGATTGAAAAAATTGTGGTGATCAAATTTGCTTAGAAATGGGAATTTCAGAAATGATTTCAATTTCGAAGCGCACGCGCCCACACTAGTGCGGGAAAAATTTCCCGCACTAGTGTGGGCGGGAAAATATGACACTTTCCGAACTGAATTGCGGAAGGTTATTCTTTCCCGCACGCCACTGCCGTTGACACGAACGAAGCGAAGCGGAGTTCGGGCAAGGAGTCGAGTGCGGGAACGACACTTTCCGCATGAGTTAGGAACAATATTTTTTCTACAAGCGTAGGGAATTGATTGATTTGTTCAATTAATTATTCATGCAAATAGGAACGAGTAACAAGAGAAATATATTCTATATCTATTAATTATTAGTAATAGCTATTGTGAACTTACAGTTTGACCCATTATGTAGGTAGGTTAATTGCGGAAGCCATCAGGCCCATGAGGTGTTTGGTCTCTAGGATTCATACATTTCTAGGAAATGAGCCAAGCATACTTCTTTATTCGGTATTTTCATTTCTTTATTGTTGCACCATTCAATAAAACGCGTGTATAGCTTCTCATACTTTTGTCAAGACTTCGTTGGCAATAACGCATCTTTATCGCCTCCCTATAGCTGGAAGTTTTTGATCACATTGTGGCAATTCCACTGAATCGAAGGTGACAGTAACGCTGTGTCTGTCACTTCGACAATAAAAAACTCATTTGAGGTTTGATTGGCATGACAACAATAATCGTTTCCCTTCAGATCAATCCAAATCTATAGGGGTATTTTTATAATAATCAATTTTTATTTTTCAATATTTCTTAATTTTCACAATTAATAGTACAATGTGATGGATGATTCTGAACATACATACTTAATACTGCAAGAAACAAACTCAAACTCTCATATTCCATCACCTACCACTTATATTTTGCCATATATTTGTTTTTCCCTCAATGTTGCGGGAAAATGACAATTCCCAAACTAAATTGCGTGCGGGTATAGGGTGAATCATGCACGCTTGTAGAAAAAATCATTTTCTCAACATCATTATGTCTCAACGAGATGAAAAATAAAAGTCGTCTCCACAAATTTACTGGCGAAATGTGCAGTTAATTCTGCTTCATTACTTTTGATTGAGAAAAAAAGAAATGCTCCGTCGTCAAAAAATGGATCATTCTTTATACTTTTACCAGTAGGTATATGTAGTCAATACAACATATTCTCAACATTATAAGTCTCAACGAGATAAAAACTCAAAGTCATCTCCACAAGTTCATTACTTTTGATTGAGACATGTTTCGACCAATTAAATGGTCATCATCAGGCATAGTACCATAAAGTTGATGTGGAAGTGACTAAAATTAGAATGATAAATCGTTTTTAATATCAATGCCCATGAGTATGGAGAAATTCTAGTAGTAGAATTACGTAGGTACAGGGCGTTTCATTAATAGTGCACGAAACTTCGAGGTCATATTTATTGGGTCGAAATAATAAAAAAGTTCACATGAAGCAAAACTTAACGCCAACTTTATGAAATACAGTGTATAGGAAACAGGACGCTAGAAACAGATTACAGATACATGATAATTCAATCCAATTTCGTTTAACATTCAATATGTGGAAACATTTTCCAAATTTGATATCAACATACTGAGAATATAACATTATAATCTTCCATAAAATCATCATGTAACTCATTTGTATACTAACATCATCACTCATTCATATGCCAACATCGCAGTATGTCACTGCGAGAGGTGTCAAACTATAAGAAAAGAATGTTCGATGAGAAATATTTTGCATTTTTATGTTGAGAACGGGAGCAGATTCTTTCCCGAAACGTTCAAAGATGAGTGGATTCGAAATTCGATATTTTTTCAATATATTTCTTCTCTTCAATCAAATTGCCACTGGCAAGTTATTGGATTTTTCTTTTGGGCTCCCTGATAAAGAAATTTGTTAAACGCAGTGACATTTTGAGGGAAATCATCAAACGAGAAGAGAAAATCCCAAATAATCAAGTAAAATGAATGTACCACCGCCTCGATTAATCTACAGACAGTATTTAAGGTATTTACTGATGAAATAAATATCGAATAACTGGCAACCCTGGTCCGCGCGAAGAATGAGTCGACAACAACTGTCATTTGCTGTTGTCAAATTAACTATACACGAAATCCGATAGATTTCACGTGTGAATAGGACCTTGAAGTGGACACAAGTGCTTGATGAGGTCGACGAAAAAATTTAATATGCACCTCGGCGAAAACCTATCTATTGTCTCGCCAGATTGCTAGCCTCGGCTATAAATTTGCAGTTTTTCGTCCATATGGTACATAAATAACTATTTATAGCTACCTATTATTTTTTGTACTTCAGCAATGAAATCTTTCCAGACGCCAGACGTTCGTCTGTGCATGGTAAAATGATGAGTAGGATATATTTTATCTCATACATCTGTTTCAATGGTATTTATGTTGTCATCATCCAAAAGTTTCGAACAGAACATTATACCATTCATACATTAATATTATAAAGGATGATGGATTCAATAAAATACAACAGAATCAAGTGTGGTTTAATAGGCATATTCACGTATAGTAAGGTAGCACTGGTGAGGGAATCTTGAGGTTTGTGGTATATAGGGGAGAATATCCCTGACAAATTAGAATGATGAATCGTTGTTAATAACAATGACTATGAGTATGAAGCAATTCTAGGAGTAGAATTACGTAGGTACCTACTATACAGGGCGTTTCATTAATATTGCACGAAATTTCGAGGTCATATTTTTTGGGCCCAAATAGGACTAAAAGTTCATATAAAGCAAAACTGAACGCCAACTTTATGGAATACACTGTATAGGAAATAGGACGCTAGAAAAAACATATTACAGATACATGATAATTCATTCCAATTCCGTTCAACATTCAATATGTAGGAACATTTTGAACATTATTCCAAATTCGATATCAGCATTCTGAGAATATAACATCATACTCTTTCGTATTTATCGTGTAGTGATTTTTTTTGGCATTGGCCCAGATATGATAAGCAGGAAAATACAAATCCCACCTACGGATCATATCTTAAATAATACTATTTATAATGAAAATGATAATTCAATAAAAATCATCTAATTCAGAGGAATACTTCAAGTGAGGAGGTAATATACAGGGTGGGATTGAAATAAGTGCAAATACGTTGAGTAAGCTCGACGTATACTATTGAGTGGTACCAATAAAAAGAAAATAGGGATCAAAATAAAATTTGAGGTTAGACCCCGGATTTCAATCATTTAAATTGTTTTAAAGAGGCGTACTTAATTTTTTTCTCGTTTTTTGTTCAATTTTCGGGATGAAATTTCTTGTTAATTGGAAGAATTAGGAAAAATCTGATATCATGGGAATAATCGTTAGACTATAATATCGATGTGCTGATTATATATGTACTTATTACAAAAACACCTTGTATAACGAGAGAAATCAATTTGTATCATTGAAAATGAAATTTAGAGCTAATTTAAATTTGAATATTGATCTGAAGCAATAAAGAAAAATAAGGTACCTACCTATTATTTTGCTTCATTATTGGACCATAGATAACGACATTTTCTGAAGCTGAAGATGACGGTTTTGAGATTAGAAAGTTTATTTTATTTTCGATAAAAAAGGCCTATCTGTCACCTACTGAAATTGCTAGTAGGTTATATAGATAAGCCAGTGACATTAGTGTCTAGATATGTGAAATTGATTCTGGCTGTAGTTTTTTCCACTTCAGAAATATATATACTTCTAGAGAAACGCAGATGTTTAATTCTGGAGCATGTTATATTTTTTTTGTTTTTCGAAAAAAAAAAATGTTGAACCATGAAAAACGAAGAAGGAGAATTGCACGGTTTATCCAAACATTATTCTGAAACAAAGCGGAAATCATTATGTGGTGACACCTTGGTATGACATAAGAATAATTGGGATAAGATTTTGAACGATGTAGATTGAGAGCATCAGAGCCCGACGAGGTGTGGCCGTTTCATAATACAGGGTGGAGACTTTGAATGGAGTAAACTCGCTACTGGGGAAGTGAACAATTTTTCTGAAAATTCGCGAGACACGTCAACGTTTAAATGTATTTACCTACATTTGGAGAGCAATTGAAGAGTATGGCCCATCAGGGGTAGCTGGAAACAACCCCAACATTGTTTTTTACAAATGCAACCCTAGGGCTTGCGACCCATCATTGTAAAGCTGGTTTAAAGAGGAATCCAGCTTAATGATAATTTTTCAGTTTACAGTACGCTTGAAGGTCGCATAAAATCAAAATATAATATCGAAGTTTAATATATTTTCAACGTATTTTTATCAAACTTCCGACTTTTAGTGACGGTGATATAGGGCATTTCCACCAGTTTGCAATAGAACTTCGTTTCGAACTGTGAATATGGCAAAAAAAACATTTTTTTTTGCAAAAACACTGGAATGCAGTAGCAGATAGCAATCAATTGTTCAACACACATTTTGAGCGATTGATGCATAAAAAAAAATGGAATTCCAAAATTACATTTCAATTTTGTGCAACGCATGAAAAACAAAAATTTGACTAGGTCGCTGGATTCCTCTTTCCACCAGCTTTTCAATGAAGAGTCACAAGTCATAGGGTTACATTTGAAAAAATCATGCTGAGGGTGGTTTCAGCTACCCCAGGAGGCATATATTCCCGATATTGCTTGCAAAAGGTAGGTAAATATATTAAATCGTTGACGTATGTCGGAAATTTTTAGAAAAAAATATATTCAGCTCTCCGCTAACGAATTTATTCCAGTTAAAGTCTCCACACTGTATATTCAATTTTCGAAGAGCATTATAGTATTAATCATTCAATTCAAAAATAGACGACTATAATTATTGATGGGAGTACCTACCTATACGGTATTTTTAGATTTGATTGCTCTACTTCAAAGTTATTTGAGGAGTTAACTACCAGAAGAAGGTTTATGAGTTCAAACTGTTTAAACCGTGTTTTTCCTCTACAATTAATACAAAATCACACACAAGCACTCTTTCAAGGTTGCCATTGCTACTATACCTAGTGAGTCAGAAATTTCCATTCACATTTATACTTGAGATTAATATATTTTTGACTCGACTGTCAAGTAATTAGGTAGTAATGTCTACTGTTTTGGATTTATAAGTGATTGTAAAAAAACTGTCATGTAATTAGGTAGTAAATGTCTAGTGTTTTGGACTTATAAGTGATAGAGATAGTACTTCCCTATTAGAAGAGTTCGATCAACATCAGCAAGTTCACCCAATACAAACTAGTACAGTTTTGATGTGGCCAGAATTTCATGCACATCAAAATGACTGCTGGACTGCTGAGAATTCACATCGTGAAAACCCTGTCAGAAGTTCATCTTCAGTCTTGGCCGTATACTTATATACCGTATATTAATACAGTTGATAACTGCATTCTGATTGTTCTGTATCTAATTAGGTACTTGTTTTTGTTTCAGAGACCTTCGATTCAACAAAATAAAAGAAGTTAGGCCTGGAACTCTCAGGAATAACACTCACATAATATCTTTATTGCTCAATAATAATCTTTTGAATTCACTGAAGTATGGCTCTTTTGATGGACTGCTTCGAGTGCAGAATCTTTATCTGCATGACAACAGGATCCAGTACATCGAGCCTAATGTTTTTCAAGGGATGAATACACTAGAAAGATTGTGAGTGTGACTTAACTTCAATTATTACTTCAATTTTTATTCGTTGAAATGATATAGTTTCCCGAAATCATATGTTAGATTCAATATCTTGGATTCAATTCATAGAACATATTCTCCAGTGAATATCATAGTCCAGCCAATGAACGAAAAATTGATCGATTAAATCTTGTAGTACTGATTTTTGAATAGGGATATGAGAAAGTGACCTGAACAACCTGCAATAAAGTCCCAATGGATGGCGATATAGCGGGTGGTGGGGGGGGGGGTCGAGGAGAGCATTCAAAGGTACATATTTCGAGTTTTTTCCAAATTTCTCGAAAATTATCACTTCTATCGAAAAAGTACACCTATACAAAATTAATCTCCATAACATTTTTCGCAAAATGGGTTCATTCGTTTTTTCATTGGTAATTTTTTTATACGATGGACAGGTCGAGAGATATTCAAACGAAAAAAATGAATATTTCGCGAAATTCCATTATTATAAACTTGAATCAACGCAAAGGCTTGAATCTTATTTAAGAATTGTGTTTTGATGAATCATTCAAGAATTGTGTTTTGATGAATCATTCATGTTAATAAATTGAATGATTAAACTCAAAAAATAAACATTAATTGAAATTGAGACACTTTTTCACTTCATATCATACCATTTTTCGTTAGTATGTTTTCGAGAATGAGGTACACGCGGCCACAAAACATCATAATTGTGCTCCTGTTATTCTGTATTTCTCCTTTGCATGTTTGATTTCTTATTCTGTGTCTTCTTGATTAGTTCTCTATTGTCTAAGTATATCTCTATTATTGGGTGGATTAACTTTTTGACTTCTGTTGTTTTTTGGCATTACTTCCCTTCCAATTCTCCGTCCAAATTTTCAAATTTCGATTGTTGATCCCAAGATGTTCATATCTTTTCGCTTGTTCTATTCAGTTTGCTTTTTTCGTTATGATCATGCACTTCATTGTCTTATTTGTATTGATTGTTTATGTTCATTTTGTAAACTCTTTGTCAAGAATGAATATGTTCTGCTGAATCTGCCACTATGGCCGTATATGCAAACACCAAGTCATTTATTTAGATTTGTTTCAATCTCCAGTGTCCCCTTTTCATGTATTGACAATACGATTCCAGATCTTCATCCGTTTGGACCTTAGCATTCCTCATAATATTTTTTAGCAATTCACACAGTCCTCTCATTTCATCTTATTCCGAATATTTTTTGTGTTATATTGTCTTGACGTAGAATTTTTCCTATTTTGTACCTTTCCAATCTCTTCTTCAGTTACACATATATTTTCTATATACCTACATTCCATGTTATACAGGGTGTCCGGAAATTATGCGCAAACAATCAAGGGGGTGATTCTACATAATGAAATAAGGCATTCATTTCATATGAACCTAGGTCCGGAAATGCATAGTTTTCAACATACAGTGTGTTGAAACTTTTAAAAAAGATTGGTTTTTTATGAATATCTCAAATGTCTTTCCACCGATTTTCTTGAAATATGGCAATGCTATTTTTTGTCATGAGGGGCTGATATACCCATAATTCAATTGGAATCTTGGAATCCAGTGGCGTCCCAATGGGCAACCTACCGAATATTATTGTCAATAAAATGTGCTCCACTGATTTTTTTGAATTTTGTATCTTCATAACCTATTGACCAACTAAAAATACAATATTTTGGTCTCATGAATTGTTTTGCTATTTTGCTGCATTTCCGTGGAAAAAAATAAATACCAATTCATTGTATAAATTTTTGCAAAATATTGCTTCAAAAACAGGGGTGAAATTAAATGTGTGATCCATGTCCATAGACGTAGAATAAGAATGAAGAATAATTATCTTCATATATTTTATAATATATGTTTGACACACTCTACACTCAGTATATTGAGAACTATGTATTCTCGGTCCAGGAAGGCGTAGTTTTCGATAATACAAAGTGTGCCAAACATGTATTATAAAATATTTGAAGAAAATGAATCTTCATTCTCATTCTACGTCTATGGACATGGATCACACATTTAATTTCACCCTTGTTTTTGAAGCTATGTTTTGCACAAATCTATTGCAATGAATTGGTATTTATTTTTTTCCACGGAAACGCGGAAAATAGCAAAACAATTCAGGAGATCAAAATGTTGTATTTTTAGTTAATCATCAGGATATGAAGATGATGAATTCAAAAAAATCAGTGGCGCACATTTTATTGACGATAATATTTGGTAGGGTGCCCCCGGGACGCCACTGGATTTCAAAATTCCAATTCAAATTATGGTTGAATCAGCCTCTCATGACGAAGAATATCGTTGCCAGATTCCAAGGGAATCGGTGGAAGAATATCTGATATATTCATAAAAAACCGATTTTTTCTAAAAAGTTCAACACACTGTATCTTGAAAACTATGCATTTCCGGACCCAGGTATATATGAAAGAAATTTTATGTTTTCACATGCAGAATCACCCCCTTGATTTTTTGCGCATAATTTCCGGACACCCTGTATGAGGTCCTCTTGTTCGTCTTCCAGTCCTTCAAATCATTGTCTCAGCTTTTTCATTATTGTATCTTTTCCCATAATTATATTTCGATCCTTGTCTGTTATATTCCCTCTGCCTTAGAGTTCCGTAAAATAACTCTTCTCTGTAATTTCGTCATTTTTGTTTGGTTCCTTCACTTCATCTATCTTCATCTATTTCCGTTTTCCTTTGTATAATATCGTATTAATCGTCTCTTCTCGTGTCTAGAGATTCTCTATTTGTCTGTAATTCATTTGATCTACATGTTCTCGCCTCGTTCGCAATTTGTGTAGCTCCACATCTTTCCCTCGTAGCCTCCAGTAAAATGTCTTTGATTGTTACATTTCTCTTTTAACCCTTTACATTCTCCTTCTCCATTTTTATTATCAAAACATTTGGAGAAGGAATAGAGAGGGTAGTGCCGGCACCGATTGTTCCTCCCCAATTACATTCTTTAAATTAAAAAATTGACGTTTTCTAAGTATGTATAGTACAACAATGCCCCCCACCTCCCGCGGAACTTTACTTCAGGTTGTTCAGAGCACATTTCTCTACCCCCATAAGCAAAAACCCAGAAAAACATGATTTAATCCTTCTATTTGTGAATTTAGGAGCTCTGATGATGATTGGACTATCAAGCTGTCGACGGATATTGTTATACAAAATGAAGTTTTATTAATTTGAGTTGAATTGTTTTCAGATACTTACATAATAATCAGCTAGAAGAACTAAAGTATGGAACATTCTCAGACCTTCCTTCCCTAAATAGATTGTAAGTGAAACACATTCCTAATAGGTAGTTATTTATATGTGATTGATAAGTTATCATAGACCTATAGGTACTGTGAATAGAAAAATAATCATAATTTTCCAAAACAAAAAATATTTCGGAAAATACTACAACTGGTCGATTTTTGGGGTTCTATTATACACAGTGCGTCCACCTTAATGACTTTCCACCCTTATTAAAGCTGCATTGCTAGATCAAAATTGATAAAATATTTTTTAGAAAATTCAAAATGATTCGAATTTCGATTTAGAAAAATCAGTTGTTTATTATGGTTTTCAATGGTATACAGGGTGTTTCAGACTTAAATGTACAAACGATACTGGCAGATAGAGAACACTTTGACGGTTTCAAATCACCCCCATTGATGTGTTTACCGTCTTTTATAACTGGGATACAGGACGTTACCTGATTTTGGCAAAATCTTCATCTGGTCATAATTTTTGAACCACGTTGTATAATCAATTCATATTTGGTAGAAATAGTTCACTTATATCACACATCAAAACTAAATAAAAATTGAGTACAGAATCAAGGTCGTCTTAAGAAAAAACAGAAAACTTGTTTATTTCAAAAACAACACTCTGTATGGCAAAATTTCGTACATCTGTTTTGATATTTAGAAAGAGCAGGAAAAAATTAATAAAGTGACCTACTTATTACGAGCGCGCATCCAATTTGACAGATGATTTATTATTATGTTTTGAAATATTCACCCCATTTCGAGGCATTTTTATTGACCTGTAATTCAAAATCCGATTTCGATAAAAAAAATAATTGTCTTCAAAGCTGAATGTCATTAGAAGCAAATTAGGTGAACTATTGATAGATTTCACATAGCCACATATCAAGGCTAGGCCTTTAGTGGATAACCTACAAATTTATTTGCTTGAAATTTGTATTCTGATCAACTTGTTGAGCATTGTAACTAATAGGAAAGGTGGATATTAGATTAGATTATTATAATTATCATTAGTGAATCTTAATTATGTACCTACATATCAATTTGCAAATAAATTAAATTATTATTATTATTATTATTTATCGCAGCTCATGAATCAATCGTGAAGAATAAAACGAGCCCTCAAAAATTTCCAAAACCACAGACGATATTCTGTCGAACGAACAGATCTATCTATTTCACCCCAATGATGTTGAACTTCGAAGGACGGTATTATTTTGTGAAATAATTGGATTTTGAATTACCAGTTCAATAAAAATGACTCAAAATGGAGCCGAGTATATCAGAAAATAATTATAAAACATCTGTCAAATCGGATGCGCGGTTGTAAAAAGTAGGTCCCTTCATTCGTTTTTCCCTGCTCTTTTCAAATATTGAAACAGATCTAAAAAAATTTGCCATACAGAGTGTTGTTTTTGATATAAAAGAAGTTTTCTGTTTTTCCTCAAGACGGACCTGGATTTTGATCCCGATTTTCATTTAGTTTTGATTGGTAATATAATAAGTGAAATAGGTCTACCAAGTATGGATAGATTATACAAAGTGGTTCAAAAGCTATGACCAGATGATGATTTTGCCAAAATCAAGATATCGTCCTGTATCTCAGTTATAAAAAACGGTAGACACATCAAAGGAGGGTGATTTGGAACCATCACAGTGTCCCCTATCTACAGGAATTGTATGTACATTTAAATCTGAAACACCCTGTATAATGATCGAGTCATGACTTAATCAAAAAAGCTATACTTGACTATAAAACTCACGCACGTGTATTTATACCCTAGAGTCCGAGTCCAACAATCATTTTGGATTTATAACACACTAGTGAGCTATACTCTTTTACTATAGATATTATATTTCAAGTCTGGCAGATTATAGAATGATGAGTTCGTTTTACTTATGCGGCTCCATTTTTGACATAAATTGGTGTTGGATGAACGGATTATGTTTTCTTGTTTTCATATTGGGATTGGATTATTTTAGGTACCTATACCACAACAATTTAAAACGGATTCCTCAAGGTACGTTCGATAATTTACCAAATCTAATGAGTTTGCGGCTAGATCACAATTCTCTAGTTTGCGATTGTTCAATGTTATGGCTGTCCGAAATGTTGAAAGAAAAATATCTGGAAGGATCAGCCAGTTGCAAGTATCCTACGGAGATGACCGGAAAATCTTTGAAGGAAATGAGCTCCAGAGACTTTCACTGCAGTAAGTCAAAAATTTTTAGTAATTTTTGTATTCTGAGAAATATATTTCATACCCTCTTATTTTCAAATGATGACAATGAAAGAAAGTAATAAGTTTTTGGCCTTTATCACCATTTCATTAATACATTTGTGTCGTATAGAATATGTACCGAGTGTCTTTAAAATAGAGTATCTCTCTCGCATACAAGATTTTGAGTAACATATTGACGAACATTATTGTAATAGCAAACCGAATAAACGGACCACATGACCAATAATCTGGTAGAATATCTAAGGTAAGGCCGTCCCAAGAAAATGCAAAAAGTTCCCACGAAAATAAGTTCGTTTGTGAGATACAGGGCGATAAAGTTGCCAATATTTATAGACTTTTCTGATGTCCTCCCTGTATCGCTTATCGTGGTGGCAACATTTAGTCTGTTATGTGACTGTTAGTGCCGAAATTCCAAAATAATCTCTATCATGATGAGAGAGTAATCTGAACAGATGTCTTGAATGGACTATATCCGACAGCTACATCAAATTTTGGAGTTCAATTTGATTATTCCATTTTTCTCGGAACATTGCATCCTCTTTCATATCTTCACATAAAATTTCGAAAAGTTTCATCGCCACTGGAAGTCGATCGACTACATAATGCTACCGGTTCAATCACATCAACATCGAACATCCGTTGAGAGATAAAACTACTATGATAAAATTTTTGATATTATGAAAGCAAATTCGTCATTAAAGAATGTGTTTATGGGTTTGCTGAAATTCGACATTAAGGAATCTGTTTCTGTTAGTGATTCACCAGAATATCAAGAATTTTTGTTGGGCGGTTATCTAGCAGTTCAATGAAAATTATTTATTATCTTCAACTTCAACACCATGTATTTCGCAAACGAAGTCTTCTACAACTTATGTTTATGGGAACTATTTTCATTTTTTTGATGCCCTTTTACCTCTTCAAGTGTGTCCCACATATTACACCCTGTATATGATATGATTCCAACACTCACATGCGGCTCAATGCTCAAGAATAATGGCCAACATCGAACATCCGTTGAGAGATAAAGCTACAATGATAAAATTTTTGATATCATGAAAGCAAATTCGTCATTGAAGAATGTGTTTGTGGGTTTGCTGAAATTCGGCATTAAGGAATCTGTTTATGTTAGTGATTCACCAGAATATCAAGAATTTTTGTTGAGCGGTATCTAGCAGTTCAATGAAATTTATTTATTATCTTCAACAGCTTGTATTCCGCAAATGAAGCCTTCTAGGACTTATGTTTATGGGAACTATTTTCATTTTTTTGAGATGCCCTATGACCTCTTCGAGTGTGTCCCACGTATTATGAAACACCCTGTATATGATATGATTCCAACACTCACTTGCGGCTCAATGCTCAAGAATAATGGCCAACATCGAACATCCGTTGAGAGATAAAACTACTATGATAAAATTTTTGATATTATGAAAGCAAATTCGTCATTAAAGAATGTTTTTCTGGGTTTGCTGAAATTCGACATTAATGAATCTGTTTCTGTTAATGATTCACCAGAATATCAAGAATTTGCTCACGAATAATGGCCAACATCGAACATCCGTTGAGGGATAAAACTACTATGATAACATTTTTGATGTTATGAAAGCAAATTCGTCATTAAAGAATGTGTTTCTGGGTTTGCTCAAATTCGACATCAAGGAATCTGTTTCTGTTAGTGATTCACCAGAATATCAAGAATTTGCTCACGAATAATGGCCAACATCGAACATCCGTTGAGGGATAAAACTACTATGATAACATTTTTGATGTTATGAAAGCAAATTCGTCATTAAAGAATGTGTTTCTGGGTTTGCTGAAATTCGACATTAAGGAATCTGTTTCTGTTAGTGATTCACCAGAATATCAAGAATTTGCTCACGAATAATGGCCAACATCGAACATCCGTTGAGGGAAAAAACTACTATGATAACATTTTTGATGTTATGAAAGCAAATTCGTCATTAAAGAATGTGTTTCTGGGTTTGCTGAAATTCGACATTAAAGAATCTGTTTCTGTTAGTGATTCACCAGAATATCAATAATTTGCTCACGAATAATGGCCAACATCGAACATCCGTTGAGGGATAAAACTACTATGAAAACATTTTTGATGTTATGAAAGCAAATTCGTCATTAAAGAATGTGTTTCTGGGTATGCTGAAATTCGACATTAGGGAATCTGTTTCTGTTAGTGATTCACCAGAATATCAAGAATTTTTGTTCAGCGGTTATCTAGCATTTCAACAAAAATTATTTATCATCTTCAACTTCAACAGCTTGTATTCCGCAAACGAAGCCTTCTACGACTTATGTTTATGGGAACTATTTTCATTTTTTTGAGATGCCCTATTGCTTCTTCAAGTGTGTCCTACATATTGATACGTTATTCGGGTGCAGAAGCGAACACGACACTTTTTATTTTCGAACTGATTTATTTTAACTAAAGAAACACTAATTTATATCGAACTTATAACTACTATTTATGTAAAACGATTTATATCACGCGGTATATAACGGTCTCTCTGACACTCGCTGCTCGACTGACTGACGGCAGTTGTCCGGCTGTTTATATATGAGATCCCTTGGTAGGCTTTGGTTCGAGAACGTTCTCGAATGATCTTCTATACCTTTCTTTTTGTTCTAGAAGCTTCTTAGAACGATACCTCTCTCTCTAATTGTTCCATCAATTGTTTTCAGAACATTCCAGAATCATCTGTCACGTTATTTGTCACCGCGACATATATTGAGTGTTCGGAAATAGGCTGGTACATGTAGGAATCATTGGGATGTTGGAGAACAATCTGAGATGCATGTTACAGGATGATCGTTGTACTCTTGCTTTCCTGATGATGTTTCCAGAGCCCCTCTGAGAGAAATATCATTACAATATTATAAAACACCCTGTATATGATATGATTCCAACACTCACGTACGGCTCAAATGCTCACGAATCATGGCCAACATCAACATCCGTTGAGAGATAAAACTACTATGATTGTAGATTGTAGATGGGTCGTATAGGCTGAGAGACCTCTCGATCACTGCGACCTAGAAGATCTATTGTGATTACCCCTATCTAGTTTTGGTCCTCTAACCCTAGACTTCTGATGAAGCCTACGATTTTCCTGACGGTTGACTTTTCCACTTCAGCAGGGGTGAGATAGACCTGTTCTAGGTGGTTCAGCCTTTGGCGGACTAATACTTCACATGAGCAAAGTATGTGTTCCGCGGTTTCGGTCGCATTGTTACAAAAGCGGCAAGTGTCAGTCTCCGCCAGACCCATCTTTTTGAGGTGGTACCTCAGAGGGCCGTGTCCTGTTAGGAAGCCTGTGATAAGCATTAGCTCTGGTTTGCTGAGGCTGAGTAGCTCTTTGGCTCGGTTCTGCGAATGGTTGATGAACCTTTTCGCTTGTCGAATTTCTTCCCATTTCCCGAGTTCTCCCTTTAGGTGACATTTGCTTATCCCACAAAAAGGCTCAGGACCAAAAAGTGCAGATGCTGCACCTTTTTTTGCAAGGCGATCAGCTGCCTCAAGTGTGCCCAAAATATTATGAAAGACCCTGTATATGATATGATTCCAACACTCACATGCGGCTCAATTCTCACGAATAATGGACAACATCGAACATGCGTTGAGAGATAAAACTACTATGATAAAATTTTTGATAAAATGAAAGCAAATTCGCCATTAAAGAATGTGTTTCTGGGTTTGCTCGAATTCGACATTAACGAATCTGTTGCTGGGTTTGCTCATTTTATCCTATCACTACTATGCCTTGAATGTTCAACTCACCCATCAATATTGAAACTCGAATGTTGTACAACTCCAATTTTGGATTACTTCATAGGTCCTTTGGAGATCATGGAAAGTCCTCAAGACATACAGGTGTCGTGGGGCCAAAATGCCTCTTTCAAATGTAAAGTTCAAGACCCTGAGGCTTCCATACACTGGATGAAAGAAGATCGAATGTTGACACCTGATGAGAACAAGTATAAGATAATCGACAACGGTTCACTTGTGATACAAAATACGGAAGAAAGTGATGGAGGATATTACGAATGTATAGCCGAGAATGTGGAAGGAGAAGTAGCGAAATCCAAACCAGCTAAAATGACCGTTTTGAAACCGGAAGCATCGAATATAATTTATGGTAATGAGGTTTTTAATTCATCAAAATACCTAGACAGTAGGTCTACTCAAAATACTTGATAGATGAAATTTACCTACGTACAATAGTTATTTGTTTTACTAGGCAGAAAAGTACAAGAAAATATAGCTTTGACATAAATCAATTTGGTTTTCAAGAAAATAGTGGCACACAAGCGGCAATATTACAAGTAATACAAGCAATACAAAAAGGACTTGATACCGGAAATTATGTGATAGCAACTTTTGTTGATCTCAAGAAAGCTTTCGATACAGTAGACCACATAACACTTTTGGAAAATTTAGAATCAATGGGACTCAGAGGCATGATAAGGAACCTTTTAGATTCGTATCTTCAAAATAGGACAATCAGTACCAAATCTACCAACTCAGAGTCTCATAGACTACCGATGACTAAAGGTGTCCCTCAAGGATCTGTTTTAGGACCAATTTTATATTTATTATATATTCAAAATATCACGAAAATTGATACAGAATGTAATTACACTATTTATGCAGACGATACGGTACTTTTATATGAAAATAAAAATCCTATCATTTTAGAAAATATAATAAACAGAGACTTGATGAAATTTGAAAATTGGCTGCATTCAAACCTCTTATCAATAAATATTGATAAAACTGAATATATGATTTTTCAACAAAAAAATAAACAAAATATAAATTTAAATCTCAGAATTAAAAATGAATCTTTGAGACAAACTAATGAGAAAAAGTATCTTGGGATTTGGTTTGATGATAAATTGAAGTGGGACAAACATATAAATGTTTTGAAGAAAAAAATATCTCCTATTATTGGAGCCCTGAGAAGATGTCCCAAGCTGAATAAAAAAGTCGCAAATATAATTCTATATTCTCATATACTCAGTCGTATTAACTATTTGATAAATGTTTGGGGATACTGTTCAAAAAACAATTTTAATAAAATATCTGCATTATATAAAAAGACATTGAAAGTACTGTATCGTTTACCATATGATACACCAACAAATCAATTATATAAAATAACTGAATCATTCTCATTAGAAGAAATGTTCAAAATCGAAAGACTGAAAATTACATACAATATCATAAATAAAAGATTGAAATCTAATTTTATTTTAACACGAAACAATGAAATTCATAATTATCAAACTAGACAACATGGTTTATTTCATCTTGATATCGCTAATACTTCTATAGGCCAAAAAAGATTCACCCACGCTGCTCTCTTGGAATATAACAAATTACCAGATAATATAAAAAATTGCAGAAATACAATAAAATTCAAATACCATCTTAAAAAATTTATCATTTCTGAACGAAATAGATGACTTGTTTTTTTTTTCCAACTTTTGATTCATATTCAAATTGATTTTTGCTCACCAATATGAAATGATTTGTCAAAATTTAATAATTAATGTTTTCAAATATTTTATTATTCATCAGTTTATTATAATTGTATAGTTTTAGGTATTATTGTTAACTATACTTCCTTATACCAGAACTTGATTCTGACTGGAAGTAACATTTTCAATAAATAAATAAATAAATAAATAAATAAATAGCTGGTGTTTCATAGCCTATGCGTAGCCGAGGCTAGGAAACCAGCCAAGGCATTACATCTTTTTTTCTGTCATGACCCAAAGTCATTGTCAATTTTGATTACCGATATGATTCAAATTACTTGGAACGTTGCATAGCAACAAACTTTATTGCCTAGGCAGTAAAATTACACCTTTTCTGCCTGTTGAGTGTCATTAAAATTCCTTTTTGATGTCATTTGGAGAAAAAAATCTAATTTTCTGACGCTAGATGCTCCAAAGTTCGCTGTTGAATAATACTTCTTTGAGATATCACGACAACCGCTAATGTGAATTTGATATTATATGAGTGGAAATATCTCTACTGATATCAAGACATCCGACCCTTCATGCAGTTTCAGATCGATTTACTGGCCTCGAACATAATTTTTCCTCTAATGTCTGTTACTTCAAATTATGCAACACTGAATGTGGGTTATCATAATTCACAATATTTTTGGTATACAAATTACAATTTTCACATAAACATGATGACGATTTCGTATCAAAATATGTCTATACATATAGAAGCCTCATATTATGCTCTTTGTGAGAGTTATGTTTTTAAGCGACCATTGTGGTCATCTGCAGCCTGTACATATTTTTATCATTATTTTTCAGATACCCCACGATTCACGGTAGTTCCGGAGAATATATTCGTCGATCCAGGGCAACCTCTAGTCACCATGAATTGTCAATCAGTTGGTAACCCTACTCCCATCATCAAATGGGCAAAAAATGGCGTCCGAATCCCTCCTTCCGAAAAATATTCCTATGGTGATGATGGATCTTTGTCTTTAAGAAACATTGATCCGACAGATCATGGAAGTTATCAATGTGAGGCTGTCAATTCGAATGGAAGAATAACTGCGGAAGCTAGCATAATTGTCAAAGGTAAATTGAAATTTTGTACGCCTGACAATTTTGAATTGTTTGCCGCATATATTTATATTGCAATATTACAAGTTCTGTTTTTTATTTCTGTAAAAAGCATTGTATTGTTAATAGACTTTTCTCTGAGGGCCGATTTTCTCCGCTAGTAAGTTAGTTTTCCATCAGATAATAGTAGCCTGCAGATAAAAAGTTGCAGTTTGGTTTTTCTTCTGATTTTTATCCACCAGTTAATGTACTGGCAGGTAATTAAGGAATGTTGATAATAGTGATGAACAGATGTGATGGATCTGATTGGTTATGGTTTTTACATGGTTTTCACCGACCATTGGGAATTCTGTACCTACTACTGCTCATGTTCAAGTTTTTGTCCAAGATTATTTTCAATTTTTCTAATAATATGGATTATGTGGAAAGTTACGTGTTGGATAGCGTGATAGCGATGAGGATATAGATATCGTCGAATTTATTCAACAACAACGAAGGTCCAATGAAGTGTGGAAAAGAGTGGATAATTCTGGAATATGGGATGACCATAATATCAATGAAAGATTCAAGATGCAGAAAGAAACCCTATTGTCAATATGAGAAATGATTTAGGATTAACTTAACACCGCGTCGTCCAAAGCCTACTTGTTCAAGATGTGCGTTTCAAAGTTTAGATGTGGAAACCAAAAAAGCTCTGCATTCCAAAAATGACTTCAATAAAATATTAAGTGTGCTATATTTTTGAAATGGTGATTTCAAGCTCTATTGAAATATGCAGAAATATACAGGGTGTCCCATATGAAAAAAATATTTTTTCGTTATTATAACTATTGATATATAAAAGAGCTTTGGACATGATTTCATAGAAACAACAAATTTTCGACAGGAAAAAAGTTACAGCAAGAGATGACAGATATCGATGTGCAGTTTTCACCATTGAGTTTGTCATAGAAATTGACCATCAGACACCGACATCAGTTTTCGTCTATCTAGTTTGGAAATAGGACTTTCCCTTTAAAAGTGTCCAATTTGGCCCACCCTGTACCGTTACTATTCTCCAGCCGCCCCTATCTTCACCATCCAACCCGAGAGCTCCTACCCACCGCCGGGCGGCACCGTCCGCCTGGAGTGCGTCGCTTCAGGCACGCCCGCCCCTCTCATCACGTGGTTCAAGGACGACGTGGAGATCATCTCGGAAGGGCGGACGACCGTCAGCGAGGACGGCACGCTGGTGCTGATCAGGGAGGTGCGCGAGGAGGACGGCGGGCTGTATGTGTGCGAGGCCAGCAACGAGATGGGCATGCGCGAGGTCAGCGCGGAGGTGAAGGTGGAGAGGGCAGCGAACGAGCCTGCCCAGTTGGTGTACAAGCCGTACAATATCGAGGCTATTGTAGGTAGGTGACTGGAAAACAATCGGTTAGTATAGGTTTTGCAAAGTTATTTGAGACGCCGAATATGGTTATTCATCCAACAAGTGCGGAAAGTACTACTTTTCCGCACGCGACGGCAGTTGTACGAACGACGCCGAGCGGAGTTCGGACAAGCCGTCAAGGGTGGAAAATACATTTTTTCTGTGAAGGAAAAAAAGTTCGGCATTTCATCTCTGTTGGCATGTTATAAAATGTCACTTTTCATAAATTACTTTTTTCTCGTGGGAAAAAAGTGAGTACTTTTTTCCCGGATATATATCACATATATATATACACTGTTGATGATTTTTGTTGTGCTATAGTTCCGAAAAATGAGTCAATAATACCCTCTCCGAGAAAGAACTGCAAATCTTTTTATCTTCCATTCGACTTCGCGGTTACGTATATTACTAAACAACCACTAAATTCGCATTTTTTTGAAATCAAATCACAGAATTAGACTGATAGAAGTGACATCAGATATTTGATTACTTCAAAAGAATGATAAAGATGCCTACAACGCAGGTGTCCCTACTGTTAAAAACTTAAAAATTCACGTCGATAATTTTCAGATTTTAAAATAATGTGATATCTTCTCAATATTGATTCGTCCTTTCTTCTGTCACAGAAGAAAATAGTGTATTATACATGGAAAAAATATTAGATTTTAGCTCACGGTTTTTTGTCTCAACACAACCTGTATAATAAATAACTATTCCCGCATGAGTTAGATTAGATTAGATTTATAATGGGACCTTCGGGCTATCTGCGTCCACACCGCGACCTTTTCAGATCTATTGATCTGATAGAGTTCTTCGGCTAGCCCCGCCTTCTCTATGAGACTCCATAGGCTAGCTTTCAGATCCCCTGTGTATCTTTGGGCTTCTGGTTTTTCCTCACCCAGCGTAAGGAACTTTAGACTTGACAAGCCCTCACAGAGGCAGAGTATGTGTAATGCTGTTTCCTCTTCTTCCTGACAGAACCTGCACAGCAGTTCTTCAGTCAGACCTATCGTACTCATGTGTTTGTTGAGCCTACAATGCCCTGTGAGAAGTCCCACTAGTATTCTAGTTGAACTTCGTTTCTGGCTTAGTAGATATTCTGTGAATGTTGGCGATGGTTTTTTAATAAACTCTTTAGCCTGTCTCATTCCTGGCGAGTTGTACCACCATTCTTGAGATTTGGTTTGCATCCATGATTTGATACTAGTCTTATGTATAGCTTTCGCAATATACCACAGAAGGGTTCTGGGCCATTGAGAGCTTTGTTTGCTTCTGCTCGGGCAAGTGAGTCTGCCTCTTCATTGCCCTCGTACCCTGTATGTGCTGGTACCCGCATGAGTTAGGTACAATATTTTTCCTACGAGTGTTTTTGTCCATATTATTTATGAAAAAAAAAAGGTTCTTAATAAACAAGATTTTATAATAATGCTACAAAATGACACATAAGACAGAATAGTTAGATCATCAAGTTAGTCCTAAATATCCTCATTTTCAACTATACAAAAGTCGTGCGGAAAAGTAACTTTTCAGCACTAGTGCGTCTAAGTAGTTTTTCCGCACTCATCGAAGAAACAGAAATGCAAGTGAATAAAAAAATCGGACAAATTACGTTACCATAGCAACGATAGCATTTACCGTTCGTTAATCAAGTGTTGAGCGTTGCATTATTTTGACAATTGTTAATCTCAAGAACGAAATTAAACAGCAAATGATATTCCAGTAAGTATATGGAGATTAAGAAATAGTTGCGAGGCAGAAATAGTGAAGGTGATTGACATATCAACTCCAGACAATACAAAAAGAAGTAATTTCGTTATTTGGAACCAATTTAGCGAACTTTGTAAACAACGAACCATGGAAACCGAACAGCCACTGAAAAATGTGACAGGAATATTGATGAACTGGGCCTTCGATATGAAGAAACATAATGGGAACGATTATAAAGAATACCTACATGGTGAAATAATGTACGCTCTCGTGATTTTTTCAGAACAGCTCTCGTTAAATTGTCAATGAAAGTATGTATTCGAAAACAATCACAAAAAATATTTTATGCAAAATGACCAATGACAAAAGTCACACCAAGGTGTATATATTGCATTTTTTTCACCACTAGCGATATATTTCAATCCTTATAGTTTTGTGAAACTGAAATATGGACCTATTGTCACTACGAAAGCACTTCTTTTCAAGTAGCCATGACAATTGATACATATAACAAGTCGTTGCGTTATTGATGAATACCTACTATAGATTCGAGATCCATTCTTGGGAATTTCCTTGGTAGTAAAAACACAAACACGCCTTGAAAAGGAATAAATAATGGTAGGTTATATAGCTAGTGGTGGAAAAATATGATTTCACTTGTCTTACAGAAATTGAGAATTGAAACATAATATGTCGATGATGATTTCGGATGACTACGTCATGCGTTTTCCCGCGTTTTTCATGTTACGAAATATCGCGAATTTCAATAACTATTTAAAAAATGTAGAGCTCTGGGGAAGAATCGGTTTGCGACAGCGAATTAGTTAGGGTTAGTAATTCGAAATAATGGAATACAATTTTTCACTAACACACTAAAACTAAAACCCATTGATGGGTGTCACAGCTGACTTTGTAATGTCTATACTACACTACACTGTATTACCACTAATCATACTGCCTCGACACGTGTTTCGGTAACTATGTTAGCATCTTCAGGAGAAGATTATGAAACTCTAGTATCGACTTTTAAGAAATTGATTTCCACCTTCGAATTATTGATACACAAATTCTAAATTTTTTGCTACAAACATTGCATGTAAAGTATCTTACAGGCAGTACCATTGAGATGCCTTGCAGAGCTACTGGAGATCCCAAACCAGGTATAACTTGGCAGAAAGATGGTTCCAGCATGCAGAGGACTGGTCGGTTCAAAGTTTCATTGGCCGGGAATCTGTATATCTATAAGGTTTCTCCAGAAGATCAAGGCAGATACGAATGCATAGCTATAAATGATTATGGAAGAGATTCAGCTTCAGGATACATCACTGTGAAACCACTGCAAAAACCTACAGGTTTGTTAATACAAGAGAAATCATATTTTAGAATGGCTTTGTGGCCGAGTTTGTCTATGCGCTGAAATTCGCCAGATAGCCGTTCACGATGCAGAGGTACTGTCGGTTCGAATCCGGCTATCGGCTGAGCATTTTTCTTTAAAAATGTGTGATTCATGGTTGTTATCCTGGCAGCACCTCGATGCCCTAGAAGTGGTTCGGAGTCCACTATAAGCTGTAGGTCCCGCTCTTCCTAACCCCGCACAAGTTTCGACTTCTGGGGAGTTGGTTCCCAACTTTGAAGTAGCGATATACAAATTTTACAATTATAAGATAGGTTCATTCATCGTTTTCGTCCGTAGAAATTAGCAAGAGGAAAAAATTGGTATGCATGTTGCTTCGGAGGCAAGTAGATACCATAAATTGAATGGTATCTTCCTACAGAGTGAACCAAAGATTTTTTTGTGTATATTATTATTAAAATAGGCAGGAATTGGGAAAATTACCAGTACAACGAAAGCACCCACTGGTGTAGATTCCGGGGTCCCAAGGCACCTTTTTCCCATAAAAAATGTTTGAATAGGTGTTTTAAATTTTTCTGATTACTAGTTCGAATTGACAGTTCTGTGCTTTGGTGTTCATTGAATTTTCACAAGAAATGTATCATAAGGTACAGGGTGCGCCTCTTAAAATTGAAACCCTCTCATCTCATTCGTTTTGAGATATGAAGAAATGTCAAATTAAAAACTTACTTGAAACAACCCAAACTTAAATTTTGTGTAGTTGTTTCATAAACAGGGTCATTCGTTCTTTTCGGAAAGGACATAAACTCTGATTTTTTGAATGGAACACCCTATATACTTTTTCTTGGCTTGGTAAATATTTATCAATAATAATTCGGCAATTTTTCATCAGAATATGCAACTTATTAATATTTTTGAGATCAGAAAAGCAGGCACTATCGAAATATCAAAAAAATTATAGGGTGTTACATTTAAAAAATCAGAGGTCCTTTCCGGAAAAACTAATGATCCTGTATATGAAACAACTTCATGAAATAAAAGTTTGGGTCGTTTCAAACAACTGTTTTTGCGACATTTTTCCATACCAAAACAAAATATTTAAGAGGAAGTTCAATTTAATGAGACACATCATGTACAATAAAAAATAGAAAGATTTTGATAGTAGAATTATTGGAGATAGAGCTGGAGTATCTCGTTTACGAAAACCATAAGTTAAATTTAGATGATTATTACAATTTTTCATTATCTAGGACAAGGAATTTGAAATTTGACTCCTAAATTTATGGCACTGAGAAAATGCAATCATTATTGCTACTGAAACACCATGTATAACTAATTCATCTACAAAAGCGAGTTTGTTGTGTTAATTTCTAGAAAGAGGTAAAGTTGAATCTGCAACAAAATAAGTCGATTTTTTTGAAAACTTTCTATTTCAATTTTTTTTCTGTAGATGTTACTATTGGTGATCAATATGTGAGGGTGGCCTTCGAAGAGGCAACTGAAGAAGTTGACAGAGCTATAAACAGAACTATCGACAATCTCATCAACAACAAGACTCACAACCCACGAGATATATTCAGGTTTGTCCGATATGGTCACATATGTTTTCTCAGAAACTACTCCATGTGATTAATGATTGAATAAGAGAAGATTTGAATTTACCTAGGTTGATTCGATATCCTGATGCCCCTGCAAGAGAATTGGCCAGAGCAGCTGAGGTTTATGAACGAACTTTGACCAACATTAGAAAATATGTGGAAAATGGAAATATGATGATAAATTCTGTAAAAGATTTCGACTACAAAGAAATATTATCTGAAGAACATCTTGAACTCATCGAAAAGTTATCAGGTAAGGTGTGATGTCCAGAAGAATGATTGCTTTATTTAAAAATTGGTGAATTTAAGCTTCTACAATATCTAAATATCAAATACTCAGGTACTTCACATTATAATTCAATATAGTTGAAGCACAATTTTCAAATAACACTACTCCAGATTTGGACACCAACTTTAAATTCCGTAATTGGTAAGTTCACCAGTTGAAATGTTCGACTATATATATAAACCGAAATGAATTAAACAAATTATCTTGTGCATAGGCTAATCGAATTGAATTGTTCTTTGATGAAATAATCAAAGAAATATCACATTATATAACGAGAGAAGTTTTGTTTATAAAGTGGTTATACTAGCGTCAATGGTTATGATGTGGATAAAATAGTAGACATCGTTTGATATTCCACTTTGCAAGTTGAAACAATTTGAGAATGATTAAATATACAAAAAAAACTTGATGTTTTTGGATTCGATCGCGTATATGGTACGTATTGAATAAGTAAGTTATTGACCAAACTAAAATTATTATGTTTAAAAATTATATATACATGAAATTGACCTTTGTTAACGATCGTGGTACCATTAACTGAATTGCTAACAATCTGAAATTCAATACCGTCAACCGGGGCTATATCGGATCGCAGGGGTAATATCGGATTTCAAGTATTCATTTCGAATTGCCCGCGCTACAACTGATGGGTTGACAGTTCACTCGGTAAACAAAAATATCCAAACTGACGTCTAAATGACGCAAGTAAGTCACAGCTGAATGGCGTCACTTTTTAAGTCTTTTGGACGTCAAAGCGGTGTTCAATTATTATTACTTGAAACTGCCGTTGTTGACTAGTTTTGGACGTCGTAGCGACGTCTATTCTTCGAGAAATATGCCCAAACTTCTTGTTTTGAGGTTCACTCTAATCATCACTCGAATGAGGAACAATTCAATAAGAGGTATGATATATTCAATTATTACATAAATCACTATCGTTCAGAGCTCAACTCAAATTAAGAACAATATCGAAATAGTTCAATTTCTATATCCACGAATATTTGGAATTAAATAAACTCTTCCGATGTGAAAACAAGAAATGTTTACTGATTTCATGAAGATATCGATGGTTTGACCATCGCAGAAGGTACTTATAGTTTCGACTATCATCAAATGGCGGCCAAAACACTTCTGTCTCCTGTCGCCAGAGTAGTCAACCACTATTCCTGGGCAACAGCCACTGTTGTTACCACTATCATCGATTTGAATAACAGAAAACATCACAAAAAAATTCAGTGTATCGATACAAAACACCAAAAGATATTGAATAAGGAACTATCCCGTCAATGCGTCAATCGAACCGCACAAAGCACAAAAAAAAAACAACAAAGCAATAAACTATATACAAGGTGGTTTTGAAATAAGTGCACATATTCAGCACTTTAATATGATACAGTCTAAGGAATATTCCCATGATAATTATAAGTAATTATACAGGGTGATCCGAAACTATTGTGCCAAAATTCAAGGGTTGGTAGATCTCGCCAAAACAAACGTTTTTCACTTATTAACCCATAGGCGCATGCGCATGCGTTCAGCGATAATAGCGCATTAAGGTCCGCGCAGTGGTATCCAACCTCGGACACGGGGAAACGTGTTTGTACCGGAAACCGTGTTAGTAAATGACATGAAATCACAAGCAATATATGGGAGAGTTTATAAAAAAAAACACTACAATTTAGATTGAGTTAGGTTTTACACATTGCCACGACGCAATAATAAATGAGAAGTCTACGCAATACGAGTGTCGGGAGCGCAGCGATTGGTCTCGATCGTCAAAATCGGTAGAGCTGAGCACTCAATATCGATATTATTTATTTATGTATGTACATACGTCAAAATCGGTAGAGCTGGGCACTCAATATCGATATTATTTGAGTATGCACATATGTTAAACTTTTTTCTTGTGATACCTATTGGTACCGAAATAAGGTGCATGCGCCTATGGGTTGATAAGTAAAAAACGTTTGTTTTGGCGAGATCTACCCACCCTTACATTTTGGCACAATAGTTTCGGAACACCCTGTTTAATAATAAATAGGTATTTCTTTCATTAGTGCCATTCGATAGTACACGTCGAGCTTGCTCATTGTTTGGAATATTTGCACTTATTTCAATGCCACCCTGTATAAATGAGTAGGAATTGTAAAGACGCGGCAACCATTGTAAAGAGGTACAAACTGCTCGGTTCGGGTTTAGTCACGTTCGATTCATGTTCGGCTACATTCTTGCTGACGACTTTTGTGTCGCCTAAACAAGAAAATGCTGTGATTGGTGAGATTTCATGGGCTAATTTGCATTATCAAAAGACAACACCCTCTCTGAGATTGACAAGTGTGTGAAGACCAGATATTGACATCCACAAGACGTCCAGAAGTTGTCCTCTATGTGACGTTGGGAAGACGACGTAATTTTGACGTCATGATTTGGACAAGTGACGAATGGGACCATAAATGACCAAAATTAGCGGTCCTACAGACAACATTTTCGTCAGTGTGGGGGATAACCAACCAGTCGTGCATGTTTTTCGCGCTCGATCAGAAACCTAAACGTGAACCCACAAAAAAATAATCAATGAATTCACTTTTTTTGCTCTTCTGGACTGGCAATCCTGTGCATGATAGGTGAATGCTCCAATGGAATCAATATTTGTTTTGAGCCTTATCAGAACCCATAACCTCAACGTTCAAAAATCGAAATTATCAAAAAAGGCGTTTTTCAGGGGTAATATCGGACATGCCTCGGAAACACATCCACAGGTTGGGAACGCCATATCGGCGCAACTATACCCAAGAAAATATGGAGAAGGCATTGTTAGCAGTGATAGACGACCTCTTCACATTTGGTGAAAAACTTGTTATTCCACGTGGAGAAAAGCATGCACGAAGGATAATGGATTTTTTCAAAATGTCAACGTCTGTTATGTTCGCTCCTGCTGGAGTTGGCACTTATCCCAGCGAGCACAAACATCCCTGGGATGTTTTGGGATTTTTTGAAAATGTTGGCATGAAGATGTTATTTTGAGACGTAATATGCACTGACCAAAGAGGTCTTTGAAGGATATTGAAGTATTGTTTTTGTTCTTCTGTGGCATTTCTTTGTTTGCCTACTGAGAGGTATCCCTGGGATGTTTTGGGATGTTTTAGAAATGTAGGCATGATGATGTTTTTTTGAGGCGTAATATGCACTTCCCATAGAGGTCTTAGAAGGATATTGAAAGTATTGTTTTTGTTCTTTTGTGCCCTTTCTTTGTTTGCCCCACCACAACGTCTCATGCTTACGTCACAATACGATGAATTCTGATTTGTTTTCGATTTTGTTCTTCTTGTTCGCAATTGGCATTCGCATTTGCAGCGTGTCACGCTTACATCACGCTGCTAACGAACAGAAAGGAATTTGGTGAAGTTTATTGTGTTAGAAGACTTATTTAGTTCATAATAATGACCATCAGATGCAAGATGTGTTGTTCGGTGCCTCAGTGTAATCAATATATAAAAGTACGAATTCATCAATACACAGCTTCTCCGCAGTTGCAAAATTATGCATTGTGGAGAACATTTCAAAAATTGGGAAACCTATTTCCGAAACCTATTTCCAATTATATGTCTGTGTGTAGTAAGCACTACTCAGAAACCGATTAAGAATGTAATTTCATATCAAGAAAATATTTTTATGTTCAATCTATTTTTAATGCATTTTTTCATTCAAGGGAAATGGAATCCTAATGCAAAAGTTCATTTTGACAAAAGGCCTCAGAAAAGTACCTCGAAAATGGTTTTTTTTTTACAGCGATTTAATGTGCGCAAGACACGTTGAAAATGTTCTGTTGTGTCCATGAAAAGGCTTTAAAAAGAACTAGGGAGAAGGTAGTTTTGTGACATATCAAGGACATCTCGATAATTGCCGCCTGCGGCGGACATTGGCTGTTCTATAATAGTTCTATTCATGTGTAAACAGAACATCGCAGTGGAGGTTCATTGTCTCGAAATCTCGTATTTTTAACATCTCTGAGATATTTAAGCTCGCTGGGATTGTTTACCTCCATACGTTGTGTACGAGAGTGTAAATCTACAGATCACCTACTGAGATGATTACTTAGTTATCAATATGTGCATATGCATGTGAAGTGTGAGTTGGTGTGGTGAAGAGGTTATTTGTGAAATTCTGATATTCATTTCGTATATTATATAGTCAAGTAGTTTCATCAATATTATATAAAAATGGGGTTATATTTGTAGCTGACATTTTCACACAATAGGGATGTAAATTTTACATAACATCTAGAGAATGGTATGTAATATTAATGTCAGTTTGTTATATTCGTAACATTATACAGGGTGTTTCATAGGTAAAGGGAAATATTTCAATGGTAGATAGGGGTCACCAAGGTGGTTCTGAAAATACCATATTTGATACGTCGAGTCTTCATAACGGAGATACAGGGCGATTTATCGATTTAGAATAATTATTCATTCGTCTATATGTATTGACCTACCCAGTATATTTTTTTCAAATTTGATAAGGACCTCATATTTGGGGCGTTAAATTAATTCACCTATCGAGCGGAGTGAAAATCCAGGTTCGGCTTCAGGAAAAATTTACATTTATTCGAAATATTAAAATAACACACTGTATTCAATAATTAACACAGTACATCAAAAGAATTGTGAAGAGGAGGAAAAACAAAATTGTGTATGATGCTTTTTGTTTTCCCGCCACCAATTCTCATCGTAACAAGCATAAACAGAAAGTTGAAAGTATTTCAATTTGAAGAGTATTGGAATTATGAAACCAGTGTCAATTATGATTATTTGATATTTCAGTCAAAAAATCTCTCGAAAGAACTCACTGAGTCTCACAGTCTCCATAAGTCTTAAACTACCCAGTAACATTTTCTTAAATTTGGTAGGTATGTAGCTTACTTGGGACGATGGATTCATTAACCTATCAGGCGGAATGGAAAT